TGGATAAATCTTTAGCTAGACTCACCAAGAGAAAGGAGAGAGACCAAATAAAATCAGAAATGAAAGAGAAGCCCCAACTGATATCATGAAAATACAAGGGGTTATTGAGAGACTGCTACAAATAATTACATGCTAATAATTGGATAACCTAGTAGAAATAGATACTTTTTAGTAACATGCAGTCATCCAAGACTGAATTATGAAGAACTGGAAAACCTGAACAGACCTATTACTGGTAATGACATTGAATCAGTAATCAAAAAACCCTTAACAAACAAAAGTCCAGGACCAGATGGCTTCATAGGTGAATTCTTCCACACATTTAAAGAAAAGTTAATATCTATCCTCAAACTATTTAAAAAAAGTAAAGAAATGCTTTCAGATTAATTCTCCAAGGCCAGCATTTCTTTAATACCACAATCAGAAACTATAGAAGAAGAAAATTACAGGTCAACATCCCTAATGAACATAGATGCAAAAATTTTCATTAAAATATTAGCAAACTAAATTCAACAATACACTAAAAGATTCATATACAGTGATCAAGTAGGATTTATTCCAGGGATGCAAGGATAACTCAACTGTTTACAAATCAGCGTGATATACCACATTGATAAAATGAAGGATAAAAATATGTTCCTCTTAATAGATGCAGAAAAAGCATCTGACATAATTCAACATCCATTTATGACAAAAAAACTCAATAAAGTGGATATAGAGGGAACAAACATACGTGATAAATCTATGTATGACAGGCTCATAGCTAACATATTCTGGGAGAAAGCTGAAAGCTTTTCCTCTAAGAGCAACAAGACAGATGTCAGCTCTCACCACTTTTATTCAGCATGGTACTGAAGTCTTAGACATAGTAATCAGATAAAAAAAATAAAAGGCATCTAGACTGGTAAGGAAGAAATAAAACATGTATAACTAACTTTGCAGATAATAGAAAACCCTAAAGATGCCACTAAAAAAAACCACATTATCCATAAATTCAGTAAAGTTACAGGATACGAAATTAATATGCAGAAATCTGTTGCATTTCTGTACACCAATAAAGAATGTAAGGAATTAAGAAAATTCCATTTACAATTGCATCAAAAAGAATAAAATATCTGAATAAATTTAACCAAAGAAGTAAAAAACCTGTACTCTGAAAACTAAGATGTTGAAAGAAATTGAAGATGGCAAATGGAAAGATATACCCTGCTCATGTATTGGAAGAATTAATATTGTTAAAATGGCTATACTATTTAAGTCTGTATAAATTCAGTGCAGTCTCTATCAAAATACAAATAGCATTTTTCACAGAATAGAATCCCAAAATTTGTTTGAACCACAAAAGACCCCAAATAGCCAAAGCCATCTTGGGCAAGAAAGACAAACCTGGAGATATCACACTCCCAGATTTCAAATCGTACTATAAAGCGTTGGTAATCGAATAGTATTGTATGGCACAAACACACACACATAGATCAGTGAAATAGAATGGAGAGCCCAGAAATAAACCCACATATATGTGGTCATTTAACTTACACTAAGGTAAAAATACACAATGGAGAAAGGATGGTCTCTTAAATGGTATTGGGAAAACCAGAGAGCTATATGTAAGAGAATGAAACTAACTGGACCATATACAAAAATAATCTCAAAATGAATTAGAGACCTAAGTGTAAGATCTGAATTCATAAAATGCCTAAAAGTAAACGTAAGCAGTAAATTCTTGGACATTAAGCAATATTTTCTTCTATCACCTCAGGCAAGGACAAAAAAAGCAAACATAAGCACAACCTTAAATTGTTCTCCCTGAAGGACTTCATGAAATCAAGACTTTTTCAAAGTAATACTAAGTAATACATCTTAGATGTTATGCATGTTAGCATGATCTTCAAGTCAGTAGGTCTTAAATAGTTTTCACTTTTAATATGGTAATTATTGCTGGTTCTAATCCACATAAGCAAAGATCTGTACCGGTTCTACTAAGTCCCAACTGTAAAAAGCTGTCCACACTGAGAAGCCTGAGTTTATGAGAAAACTACTTTTCTTCCTTGAAAAGCAAGAGCACACCCAGAATTGTATTTCTGCAGTATTGCTGCTATGGTAGCTTCAACAGCTCATTGCATACAACTCATTACAAACATTTTATTTACTAAGAAAACTTGGATGGATAATTGAGAATTGTCTTCCACACTCACAAACTTTCTCAGACTCACAGAGCTTGTGAGCATATGTCACCATTGTCTGTAGCCGCATGTATTCTTATCCAACACATTCGTTATTTAGCATGATCCCAAGGTTGTGCCTTGTTACATTCTATAAAAACAAAAGCAGATGAACTTAAAAATTATGCTTAACGATCTGTTTCAGATTTTATTTTACTGAGAAATTATCTGGGTGTGCAATGATTTTCTATTAATTTGCTCAATCCAAGGTTTCGGGTTACCTATAGAGCTTAGAAATTAACAGGTTTTGTGCTACAAAGTATAATACTGGAGAAATAAAAAGTTTGTCCAAATCATGATTTAGTTTATTTATTTTAAAGATTTTATTTATTTATGCCTGAGAGAGAGAGAGGCAGAGACACAGGCAGAGGGAGAAGCAGGCTCCATGCAGGCAGGGAGCCTGAAGCGAGACTCAATCCTGGATCTCCAGGATCACACCCTGGGCTGAAGGCAGTGCTAAACCACTGAGCCACCGGGGTTGCCCAATGATTTAGTTTAGTTGAATGTAAATTTATGACATTTTTCATAAAGTAAAAGGTAGGACTGTGTGTGATGATGAAAAAGTTCTGGAGGTGGGTGGTGGTGATGGTTAGGCAACATTGTGGCTGTTATTAATACCACTTAATTGGTTAAAAGAATACATTTTATGTTATGTATCTTATACTGCAATAAAAAGTATTTGAGTAATATGTTAGCATACTGACTTGGTAAGCCTGGATAAGTATATCCAAGTAGAATAATATGTACACTTGTATTATACTTAAAACTGATAGAAAAAAAATTTTTAAGTTTAAGCCAAAATTATTAAACTTGTCTCATTTACCAAAAATGTGCCTTATTATGTAATATGGATTCCTCAGATGTTTTAGTTTTTCTAATATTTCTTTTTAAAGTATGGTACATTTAAAGCATTATGGTTAATGCTGAAAGCATTTTCACAGTAGCAGAACATTCATTTTACCTGTATAAAACACAACAGAGCTCTTTGAAGAGCTAGTCTAATCTATTATCTAATCCATTAATCTAATCTATTAATACCCTCCAAATGTAGGAGAACATTATATGCAGAGGGAGAAGTAAAGGTCTTTGTCAGTTCAGGTACATAGATACAGTAACTGGTAAAGAGCATATTGCTTCAGTTCTGCGATCTGAGTCATAGCTCAAGAGATACAAAAGCAAGACATAACACTAACGAATCCAGATATTGGAAAAGAGAGCTGTTTTTTTCAGTATCTGAAATTCTGAACTAATTTGAGTTCAAAGAAAAACCCCCCAAAAAACGAAACAAAAACAAGCAAAGAAAACCCTGATCCTCTTTTCATCTCTGGCCCATCAGAGAGTAGGTCTCTAACATCGCTACATAAGAGGTCACCAGATGACAAGCATATTCTTAGTTATTGCTCCCACCCATGGAGACTAGTTTATTGGGCACACCAAAAGAACAAAATTGTAGAGAGGAGAACTAGGCAAATGGCAGAGGTAAAGTTTTGTTTGGGATTCATTCCTGGAGCCAAGAAAAGATGTGCTGGGATTAAACCATCCATGAGGTATCTTCCAGCAAAGCAGCTGACCTAGCTCTGTCAGCCCACTGCGCATCTCCAGAACTAGGGAAAAATAACTTTATAGCTTCGAAATTGTGACTCCAGACTCGTATAAAGTGTACATGTGTCAAAGATTTTATTTAACCAATAGTAATAAAAGAACTAGTAAAATGTTACAGTTGGCTTCTATAACCTGAATCTAATCATGAGAAAACATTAGACAAATCCAAATAGAGGGACAGTATACAAAATTCCTGGCATATAACTTTTTAAGTGTTCCAATTATGAAATTCAAGGGAAGACGAGAGAACTGTTTCAGTTTAAAGGATACTAAAAAAAACCAGGACAACTAAATAGGACATGTGGTTAGGATGATTGCTGGAATCTGAAAGGGGCTGAGATTAATTGTGGGCCCATGTCTCAAGATGAGTGTCTGGATTTGGATAGTTGGTGTGACTGTCACATAGGACAATGTCCTTGCAGGAAACACACTAAAGTATTCAGGGACAGTGGGGCATCATGTTGGTAACTTACTCTTAAGTGGTTCAGGAAAGAAAAGTTTTGTACCATATTTTAAAATTTTCTCTGAGTTTATGATCATTTAAAAAAAATATAAGGAGATACTTTACAGCTGTAAGTATTCTTGCTCTTCATTGAGTTTTCACCATAATAGTTTTAGTGTCCTTTGATTATTCTTCCTGAATTGATTAATGCTATGATGGTTGCAAAATAGTGATTCTCCAACTCCATCATTCCTTTATACTACTTGGCATTCTACTGTAAGAAGTAACTTTCTTTTCAGATTTATTTTTGTTAGTAGGGACTTATAGATTCTAACTTTTCCAATGGCTCTAATCTTTTATTATTATTAATTTTGAAGCTCAGATTGTTCCAGATTTAGCTTTCATGTAAAGAATGGGGGGCTGGCTGCTTTTCTTCAAGCAGCTCCTTACTTCTGGAACTACATGGTGATTCAGGCTCCTCTTAGAAATACAGGTCTGCCCAATCTCTGAAGTTAGTCACTTCTCCAAGGAACCATGTTTCTTTTAGTAGACAATGATATTTAAAACCAGGGCAATCACTATAATTTCTTTTTTTTGTAGAAACTTAATATTCTAACCATAATTAAAATTAGGATTTTAATGTCTCTTTTTAGCAATATTGTGTGTTCTTCCAAGTATGTATCAAAAATATGAGTGAATGCTATTTAAAATTGATTTTTGTTTACTGTTGATAGATGAGACCAAGAATAATTGGGAAGTGTCAGCACTTTCTCAGGCTGCCCAGAAAGGATTTAACCAAGTTGTGTTAAAGCATCTGAAAAAGACAAAGAACATTTCATCAGTAAGAAAACCCTTGTATTTTCTTTACCTTAAACAATGCAGATATAAGATTCTAATGCTTATGAAAAGTAGGTATCTTAGTTTAAAATGTTATTCATATATGTTATAACACAGAAATAATTTCAATATATTATTTAGCTATAAAAATGTAAGAAATATTAACTATTTGGTCTATCGTCTTGATCTTATTTTCTTGTTTGCTTCTCAGATGTATTTAGTGGATAGTAAAAAGTATGTTTCATATTTAATAAGCAATCGGAATTTTGATATGGATATGTAAGATTGATTCTTTTACATATTAAATTTAAAATACATTGTTTTGTCAAGTTTCATTCATGCCAGTTTTTGTGGTTTTTTTTTGGTAACGATTTCTTGAGGTTTTTGAGATGTGGCATATTATTGGAAAAAATAAAGAGAAAACAGTATAGAGAAAATATGTATTTTTCAGGTATTAAGTAAAAACTAAAATTTGAAAACCTTTTAATTTCTAGAACTGATAATGCAAGTTTAGGGTAAATTCTTTCCACCTCATTATCTTTGACAGCTTTTGATTGAAAGACTGCATAGAACTGGAAATGGCTCTCAAATATATTTAAATTATGTTATTACATATAAATAAAGCAAGATAAAATTACTTGAGTATATCTCGAGTTTTGCAAATAAAATTTCTTTTCAGATACACAATCCCTTATTCTCTAAAAGAGTGGTTCTTGAAGTAAAGAACCCTGTGGATTCCAGAGTATGAGGCCAAAACTATTTTTAATTTTTACTCATTTACATTTGCACTATGGTGTAATGATCAGTACCACTGTTGGTTCCTTAGCACTTTATTAAATCTTGATCCTTGAACTTGTCTTTTTAATGTTCTGTGCGATGAAACAGGAAGTATACATAAAGCAGTCTGCTGCATAGTGCAATGTGACAGTTGTCTTCAGGAAAAACACTTTTGTGATGCTTTGAGCTGTGAACTCATGTAGCCACTCTTTTCGTGAATACTATTTTTACTTTAAAGAACAACTGAGGGGATCCCTGGGTGGCACAGCAGTTTGGCGCCTGCCTTTGGCCCAGGGCGTGATCCTGGAGACCCGGGATCGAGTCCCACGTCGGGCTCCCGGTGCATGGAGCCTGCTTCTCCCTCTGCCTGTGTCTCTGCCTCTCTCTCTCTCTCTCTCTCTCTCTCTGACTATCATAAATAATAAAGAAAAAAATAAAGAACAACTGACAAGACAAACTGGCTATTTAGGATTAGGCAGAGATTTTATCTAAAATAGAGTGAGCCTGTCACTTCAAAGAAAACATTTGAGAGTATTTGTTGCCAATGGCAAAATTCAAGTTTTATAAACACAAATTAAATTTTAGAAAACTTGAAACCGTCATCATGAGCTTGACAGCTTCTTAATACTTAAAGATTTTTCTGAAGAGATTGGTGATATTAATGAATGTGATTTTTTTTGCATATATAATGAAATGTGGGAACATTTGGAAGATCTGCATAAGCCAGTAAACCAGTATTTTCAGATGACCAGTACATTATGTTACCAAATCATGTATGGATAGAAAAATCCACTCAAAGTGCAAGATAGGCCAGTGATTTTAATATAGCAGATTATGTAAAATTTATTGGTAAGGTTTCAGATTCCACATTGTGACTAATATTTAAGAAATTAGTATTTGTTCAGTTTTAGAGTAGTATCAAAGAACCATGGTTATCTAAAAAGACTATTAAAATGCTGCTCTCTCTTCCAAGTATGGCCCAAACAGCATATCAGCCTAGTTGGTTTTTTTTTTTTAATTTTTTTTTTTTTATTTATTTATGATAGTCACACAGAGAGAGAGAGGCAGAGACACAGGCAGAGGGAGAAGCAGGCTCCATGCACCAGGAGCCTGATGTGGGATTTGATCCCGGGTCTCCAGGATCACGCCCTGGGCCAAAGGCAGGCGCCAAACCGCTGCGCCACCCAGGGATCCCAGCCTAGTTGTTTTTTAATGATCCAGACAGTAAAGAGATTTATACAAATGTGAAAGTGTCAGTTTCCTGAGGTTTTTAATTCTTTTTGGAAAACATACTTTTCCTTAAACCTTGTTATTTGTTAACATGTAATGGGTTTTGTATTTTACAATACAATAATACCCAATCATGCCAAGGTTTTAACCTCTAGTATGATAAATATTAATAAACATGGCCCACTTTAAAAAAAAGTTCTTTGGGGAACCTCAGTATTCTTTAAGGGTGAAGGGTCCTGCCAATACTTTGGAACTTGGATATCTGATTACAAAATTATAGGAGATGTGACTTCTTTTCATGAATTTGAAATAATATTAACAGCAGTATTGTGTAGGATATAATGAACTATTGAGAGACATTAATATCGGAGAGGGTCATAAAACAGTTTATTTTTTCCTCTCATAATTCTCTTAATTTTTAACTCTCTTATCATCACATATATATCATTGTTCAAATTTCCAGAATGAAGCACTGTCTTTAGAAGAAATAAGGATTAGAGTAGTACAAATGCTTGGCTTTCTAGGAGGACAAATAAACAAAAATCTCCTAACAGGTAAAGATTCTTTTAAAATAAATTTACCTCTGTAGATGTATTTGTACTTTAATTTGAGTGTATAAAGATCGTAATATATTCTGGTATTTGCTCTTGTATGTGATTTATATATTTTCAAGTAAGATTACAAAGAATAGTATTTTGCCTAATGAAATGCTTTGACTATACCCATGCAATCTGGATAATTTACTACTAGTTGGGAAAATGTTCTAGCCTGATTTGTTAAGCACATTTTCCGTTTTTTTTTTAATAATAAATTTATTTTTTATTGGTGTTCAATTTGCCAACATACAGAATAACACCCAGTGCTCATTCCGTCAAGTGCCCACGTCAGTGCCCGCCACCCAGTCACCCCCACCCCCCGCCCACCTCCCCTTCCACCACCCCTAGTTCGTTTCCCAGAGTTAGGAGTCTTCCATGTTCTGTCTCCTTTCTGATATTTCCCACTTATTTTTCCTCCTTTCCCCATTATTCCCTTTCACTATTATTTATATTCCCCAAATGAATGAGACCATATAATGTTTGTCCTTCTCCGATTGACTTACTTCACTCAGCATAATACCCTCCAGTTCCATCCACGTCAAAGCAAATGGTGGGTATTTGTCGTTTCCAATGGCTGAGTAATATTCCATTGTATACATAAACCACATCTTCTTTATCCATTCATCTTTCGAAGGACACTGAAGCTCCTTCCACAGTTTGGCTATTGTGGACATTGCTGCTAGAAACATCGGGGTGCAGGTGTACATTTTCCATTTTGGAACAGAATCTAACTTGACACTTTTAAAAAAAATATTAAACATTGTGTCAGGAATTCAAAGTTAATCTTTTTGAAAATCTGATACTCTTAATATTTAGATTATTTTTCAAGTGTTTGTGATCAGAATCAACATTTTAAATGAGTAGAAATTCATCTGTATTTTTAGTTTTGAAATTTCATATTAAATACACTAGTGACTTTTGGTAATTTAGGAAGTTAGAAACTATATTAGGAAAATAAGTGTTGCAAAGGGGAGATTTTTAATAAAAATACTGTTCAATTATCATTTTCCCACATAACACCTAAAATAATTCTTACTGAAAATAGAAATTAAATATTCTAGACTGTTTAAATTGTTTAAAAATAATTTCACTTTGAGTTGAAGTTAGAAATAGTTTGTCAGTGATTTGTAATGTTGTAATTATATGTCAAAGTAAAACAAAACAGAAAAGGAAAGATGAATAACATGCTTAATTTAAAACTATAAAAAGCATTCTGCTTTCATAAATGAATCATAGAGCAATTGGTATTAGAAAAATTTTGAATGAAAACATGCTCTTCTTGATTTATTTCAACAGCCACATCCTCAGATGAAATGATGAAGAAATGTGTGGCATGGGACAGAGAAAAAAGACTCAGTTTTGCTGTACCATTTATAGAAATGAAGCCTGTCATTTATCTGGATGTGTTCTTGCCTCGGGTCACAGAATTAGCTCTTTCAGCTAGTGACAGACAAACTAAAGTACTATTATTTTTCATTACATGTCACTTAGAATCTATGCTGTTTTTTTTTTTTTTAATATTTTATTTATTTATTCATGATAGAGAGAGAGGCAGAGACACAGGCAGAGGGAGAAGCAGGCTCCATTCAAGGAGCCCGACATGGGACTCAATCCCGGGACACCAGGATCACGCCATGGGCCAAAGGCAGACGCTTAAACCGCTGAGCCACCTGGGCTGCCCCGAATCTATGCTTTTTAAAACCTGAATTTGGTGGGAAATAGATAACATATTTCAGCCATTCCAATATCATTAATTTTGTACTTTCCATAATATTATAGTTAGATAATGATTCAGTTATTAGAAGTAGTTGTCACTGATAAAAAGTAAATAAATTATCTTAATAGATAATAACTTGGTAAAACATTAATATACCAAAAAACTGTTCATAATAGAAAATACAGTAGAAAGGACATTTAAAAGTGATTTCCAGCCTGTGCACCATTATCTCTTTAACCTGGGAGATCAGAAACAGGTAATCTCAGGTTTTTATGAAACTGATTTGGAAATTTCCAAAGTGCTGTAAAAATACATATACTAAAAGTGAAGGTTGAAGATGTGTTAACAAATAAAGCAAAGGTCTGTCATAATGGCATCAATGAAATATCTAGTACCACTTTGTTTAAATCTTTTAAGATTCAGTTCTTACCTCTTGGATACAGATCAAAGTACACAGAGGGTTAATTTTACACAAGTTCTACCTCCAGTTACTTTATATTTGGGGTGCTGGTTATCTGCTGCAAAAATTTTTCTTTTTAAAGGGCTAAATTGAGGAAAATTTCAAAATATTCTTCCCTTGTAAACCTGGAAGCTTAAACTGTGTTGAACTCCTGGTTTAATTTAGGTTGCAGCTTGTGAACTTTTACACAGTGTGGTTATGTTTATGTTGGGAAAAGCCACTCAGATGCCTGAATGTGGTCAGGGATTCCCACCCATGTACCAGCTCTACAAGCGAACTTTTCCTGTGCTACTTCGACTTGCATGTGATGTAGATCAAGTAAGTGAATAATTTTGAATCTGACACAGTTGTAAAGCTTAAAAAAAAATTGGGCCTAGGTCAGTGATCATCAAAGTTTGCTGCAGTTTGGAATACTCTGAGGATCTTAAAATAAATACTGCTGTTGGCTCCTGCCCATTCTGACTGATTTAATTTCTCAGGGGTTTGATCTGAGGATTGGGACTTTTATTTTATTTTATTTTATTTTTATTTTTTAAAGGTTTTATTTATTTATTCATGACAGACACAGAGAAAGAGAGAGAGAGGCAGAGGGAGAAGCAGGCCCCATGCAGGGAGCCTGACATGGGACTCGATCCGGGGTCTCCAGGATCACATCCGGGGCCGAAGGCGGCGCTAAACTGCTGAGCCACCGGGGCTGCCCTGATTGGGACTTTTAAATGCTCTCCTGACAGTTTTTAATGTGCCACAATTTGGGAATGAATCACTGATCTAGTTAAGTTACTGATAGTGTAGGTATCTAAAACTCAATTGGCAGTCTCCCCTCATATAGGGACTTAGAGTCTCAGGGAGTGAAGAAGAGATAAGTAACCATGAACAAGATTGGAAATTGTTGATAAATGACGTCTTCCTGATGAATTTGTGGCAAATTCTCCATTGCTGCAATGAAGCAGAAAATAAGTAGAATTCTCGGTTCATTTGATGAAGCTAGTATATCTCTGACACTAGGGTGCACACATAAGAAAGGAAACTAAAAGAAAAACTCATTTGTAAATATAGATGGAAAATTCTTCACTATGTATAAAGGAGTATAATCCAGCAATGTATTAAGATGTGCCGTGATTCAGTAGGATCTTTGTTTAAAACTGGAAATTTACCATGGAATCAGATTTCAGAAACAGTCATTGTCTCCATAGAAGCCTAAATGGTATTTGTCCTGCTAAACTAGGAATAGTTTGATCTTATCTTTAATACAATCAAGAATGTCTTCTTGAATGCTAGAGCCAAATCATCCCCAGTCATGAAACACTAATGCTGCTTTCCTTGTGCTTGGGCCAGGACAGAAGCCCAAAGTTAGAAGTGAGTTGGCCTGTTAAGGGGCACCTCCAGCACCTACCAGAGCAGTGCCTGCAGTGTGGGTGGTTGCTCAGTATTACTTCATGTGCATTTACTTAGTTACGTGCAGTGGTTAGTATTTGGGCCTCTCACCAGGCTGTGAATTCCCTGAGGACATGTCAGACAGTAGAAAGGAAGAATTTTTATTTTGAATATAATTTTTTTTATTAAACCTGGAAAGCCCAAGAATATCAGCTGATAAACTCGAAGAATTAAAGGAGGAAGCTGATGGATTACAAAACAAAACACATATATGTATCAGTATTCTCATATATGTATATGTATATATACAACCCTGAGATCATGACCTGAGTCTAAATCAAGAGCCAGATGCTCCACTAACTGAGCCGGTCAGGCACCCCAGTATTCTCCTATGTCTTAAATATTAGTACTGGCCACTTGGAAGATATGTCTACAGCATCTCACTCATAGCAGTATGAAATATATATACAAAATGTCTATAAATAAATTTCAATACACCAAGCAGATGTATATTTTATGAATACAAAATGAGCGTGCTCTGTACTTGAGATAGAAGAGTCATTATTGAAAAAAATGCCAGTTCTTCCCAAATCAGTAAGTTTGGTATCATTACAGCAGAAAGCCCAGAGTTCATTTCATTTTAACCCAAAAAGTAATCTGAAAGAATAATTGCTTGAATGTAACCGAGAAAAAAATTTTTTTTAAATTTTTAAATTTTATTTATTTATTTATGAGAGACACAGAGAGATTGAGGCAGAGACACAGGCAGAGGGAGAAACAGGCTCCATACAGGGAGCCCAATGTGGGACTCGATCCTGGGTCTCCAGGATCACACCCTGGACTGAAGGCAGCACCAAACCGCTGAGCCATCTGGGCTGCCCAAGAAAAAATTTGAAGGTATAGAACACTAACCTTTGCCTTAGCAAAAGGTTGCCTTTTGCCTTAGCAAATGTTAAAATGTAAATTATAGTAGGATTGAACTTGGCATGGATAGATCAGTGGGAGGAGAATCTCTTAGCTGCCAAGTAGACCTATGTGCATACGTAAAGATTGTGTATATGGTAGAAGAGGCTTTTTAAGTTAGAAATGGATCATTTAGGGGATCCCTGGGTGGCTCAGTGGTTTAGCGCCTACCTTTGGCCCCAGAGCGTGATCCTGGAGTCCCAGGATCGAGTCCCACATCGGGCTCCCTGTATGGAGCCTGTTTCTCCCTCTGCCTGTGTCTCTGCCTCTCTCTCTCTGTATCTCATGAATGAATAAATAAAATCTTTAAAAAAAAAAAAGAAACGGATCATTTAATAAATCATATTAGGCCAGTTGACTAACATGAAAAATTAATTTCCAATTAAGTGAAGGAAAAACAAACTATAAATATATTACAGAAAAATGTAATGTTATAGCATGTCTGTGTATCTTTGGATTGGGATGGTCTTTTTCTTTGGTAAAATATGTTATTTAATATAGAAATACATGAAGCTAAAAGTGAATCTCCATCTCATCACCCTTTCCCCATTCTTACTCCTCTGAAAAAGCCGCTTTCTCCTCTGCTGAAATTTTGGCGCATATGTGCCCAGATCTTTGTAAAAACGTGTTTTTACAAACATGTGTATACGTTTAATTTATAAAAAGGATCATTGCATTAAAAAACTCTTTTATGTACAAAATGTAATTTCTGCTACTTGGATGAATTTTGTTATCATTACGTTATAAGCATCCTTCCATGTCTTTCCCTAAAGTTTGTATAGAAAGGGAGATTTTCCTACAAAATATGGAATATAGGTATATAGAAGAAAAATGTTAATGTCCTGATAGTTTTGACTCTATAAATGTTTAAAAATGCTTAATGGCACAAAACCCACAATTTATATATATATATAATGTAGGGAAATTTTTTTATAAATTCTTCTGAAAATAAAAGAGTTTTAAATGGGCAAATAGATAAAGAACAAAAATAGAGAGCTTATAAAAGAAGAGATACATATGGCCACTGAAAGATATTTTTAAATATTTCATCTTTTTAGTAAACAAGGAAATTCAAATTTACATCTATTGTCAAATATTCTAAAAATTGCAAGTGCTTAATGTCGAACATGTGGGTAAAGGACTTTGGGAGATGTGGCTTTTGGGAATGTGGGTGGGCACAGGCTCTTTGTGGGCAGAGCAAAAGGCTGGGTGACCTGCAGCCGTAATCCAGCACTTTCTTACTAGAGTTGTGCTCAGAACAGTGCATGTAACTTTTCAGTGATTTCTTCCTAACAGAAATACCTGCATTTCTAACAATAGGATTTGGGCAACTGGATCACGGTATCTATATATGAGATACCAGGCAGCAAGTAAAATATTGATATAGATTATGTATTTATGTGAAATATTCCAAATTCGAAGGAAAATTGGTTGCAAAAATGTATATTTTTACACATGCATATATGGATTTTAAATAAAATATTTTGAAAGTTACAGTGAGTTCCAATGGTCACAGGGCTTACCTTTGTAATATAGGATTATAGACGGGTAGTTTTCTACATTTTCTAAAATTTCTGTAAGGTGTGTATATGTATATATTTATGTATGTATGCATGTATGTTATATGCATATAATTTACATACTATGGGTTAGAGAGTATAATTCTTTAGAAAAATGATGCTATAAGACAGGTTAAACTTCCACACTGAAAGGTAAGAACTTTTACTTTGATCAATCCCAAGGTTAGAAAGGTATTCTTTTGTGGTGAATTATCCAAGTGCAAGAGGACTGTGTCTTTTAGTCGAAGTCCTCAGACATTTTACATGTTTTTTGATACGGTATACATTCCAGAATGCTTCATTCTTGAACTCACGGTCAGTGGGGAGATAAAATTCCCCTGGATTTCTTTGTATTGCCATTGGAGCCTTAGCATTGTGAGACACAGAAATGTTTAAGATACAAAGATAGGGAATGTTTGCCTTCACTTCTGCTACATACGTTTTGGTTTTAATATATAAGGAGGATTAGATCTGTAACCATATGTCTAGGTAATTGCTGTTATCCAAAAGGATAAAAAGACTTATTTTAATCTCCCCCAAATTGTCACAACAGACTAGCCCACTAGGTTAAGCTCCTAAGATTCCAGGAAGAGGAGTACTGTATCCTGGGTATTTCCTTTCAGAGAAGAGTCCAGGCCTGGCAGACACCTGGGATTGTAAAAGCCAGAGACCCACAAGGCTCTGCTCCTAGAGAAATTTTATTTACGTTCTAGAGAGTTGGAATGAGAACCCAGGATCTTTTCCATCCCATCTCCAAATAGTAAAGATATCCCTCCTTCTTTTTGGCAGGACGAGAGAGGTGATTCTTTGTCCTGTATCTCTTCTGTGATTGGGCTTTTAAAGTTTATATGTGTAAAAAAAAAATAAAGTTTATATGTGTAGGGTGTTGATCTGGTTTTTATTTGGTCACACCACAGGGTGTAAATCAGGGTGTAGGGAACCACGTGGTCATTATTTGCCTTTTTTTATTTTTTTATTTTTTATTTGATAGAAAGAGAAGGAGAGACAACGGGGTTGGAAGGGGAACAGGGAGGGAGAGAATCTTAAGGAGGTTCCATGCCCAGCATGGAGCTTGACTTGGGGCTCAATCTCATGACACTGAGATCATGACCTGAGGTGAAATCAAGAGTCGGATAGATACTTAACTGACTGAGCCACCCAGGCACCCTTGTCACTATTTGCTTTTTAGTTGAATAATAATAATGTCTCTGATCCAAAATACTTTGTATGCATGTATTTAGGATCAAATTAATGAAAATAAATTTTTTTTTAAAAGCCAACATTATCTGCCTTCATATTGGAAGAACAATAAGTTTTAGAATGCATATTTTTCTCTGCTGGATTCTTAGGAAAAAGAGAAGAGCTAGGAAGAACATGTTTATCATTCAATTTTAACTAAAGAAGGAAACTAATAAAACCATTGTGGTATTATCACTTAACTTTGACTCTCATTCAAATAGCACTCTTTCCAATATAAAATTACTTTAATGCTAAGAAAAGAATTGTAATTGTATTGTTCTTCAGGTGACAAGGCAACTATATGAGCCCCTAGTAATGCAGCTGATTCACTGGTTCACTAACAATAAGAAATTTGAAAGTCAGGATACTGTCGCCTTACTGGAAACGATACTGGTGAGTAATGGTTGATTCTTTTCTTGTAATTTACGTCAACTAGTTATATTTGATCTATGTTTAGAACGTTAAGAAAAATTACCTATCAAGATATCAAAATGTAGCATCTACCTGGATACTATTGTTTTTTTTTTTTTCCTTTTGTTTTAGAGAATTGGTGAAATGGCATTTTTTTTTTAAAGATTTTATTTATTTATTCATGAGAGACCGAGAGAGAGGCAGAGACACAGGCAGAGGGAGAAGCAGGCTCCATGCAGGGAACCCCACGTGGGACTTGATCCCGGGTCTCCAGGATCAGGCCCTGGGCTGAAGGTGGCGGTAAACCGCTGAGCCACCCGGGCTGCCCGAAATGGTATTTTAATAGATAGGATGCCATAGTCATTTCCTGAAGTGTTACTTTTAAATATCTGCAGACAGTGTGCACATTCTTTTAAAATTTTATTTGAGAGAGAGAAAGAAAACATGGGTGTGGGGAGGGGCAAAAGGAGAGAATCCTCAAACAGACTCCCTGCTGAGTGCAAAACCCACTCTGGGGCTTGAATCCTAAGACCCATGAGATCAGACCTTTGCTGAAACCAAGAGTGGGATGCTCAACCGACTGAATGAACCAAGGTGCCCTTGCACATTTTGTTGTTGTTTTGTCCTCTTTTTTTGGGAGAATGGTTATAAATTAAATATATATTTAATTTATATATAAATTGGACTTCATATACATGAAGGCTGTGTGTGTGTAGAGTAGAAGGAATGAATAATAGTGTGCTTATTTTTTAATCAGAGTTGCAATACGCTCTTTAAAAAAAAATCTATAGTATAATAATTAAGACTAAAAGGGATTTTTTGAGCTTATCCAGTTTTTTCCTGTATTCAGATTTAATAATTAAAGAGCCCTACCTAGAAAGGGGCACCTGGGTGGCTCAGTGGTTGAATGTCTGCCTTCGACTCAGGTCATGATTCCGGGATTCTAGAATTGAGTCCAGCATTGGGCTCCCTAGGGGGGAGCCTTCTTTTCCATCTGCCTGGTCTCTGCCTGTCTCTGTCTTTCATTAATAAATAAATAAAATCTTAAAAAAACAAAAAACAAAAAACAAACCCTAGTAGCTATTTCTGTAGAACTGTCCTGAGGCCATAGAGTAGATTCATTAAGATTTGATCACTGGTTCATTGAGGGCAGAAGCAGGGAGGTTAGCTTGATTTTATTATAATTGTGTGAGTTTTTGCAAATGAGTTTATATTTGGTTCCTTTAAATGTCTTCTTACTCGATTTTACCTATTATTTCATCCTATAATTTGGTTTTCTCATATATTGACTACTTTTAGAATCAGAAGCCCCAGTTAAATGCATAGCAAGTTTGTCCAAACAGACGTCTTTTAAGTCCATATTCTTGCAAACTGATTCCAATTTGAATGTGTGTGTCACTTTCTGTTAAATTTGAGAGGAGCCAGAGAAATAGAGAATTTGACACTGGGCATCTGGACAGAGGAAATAAAGGGCAGTAGGTGATTGGTGTGTTTGTGGGGATTGCAGTTTGTGGGGATTGCGGTGTGCTGTGTTTCATTTGCATGGGAGCATATTGCAAGGTGGGCTGGGAAGACACGCAGAGCATCAGAACATTGCATCTAGGGCAACCACATGCTCCAGTTTGCTCCAGATGGTCTTGATTACACTGGTTGTGTGTGTAATTGTAATAGTGTTCTTTTCACTCTCAGAGTTACCCTAATTGGATGCCTTGTGGGCATGGGAGTCACTGAACATTTCAAATTAGGGTGGTAACAGTGATATTTGTGGTTTAATTCCCTGCAGTGTCTACCAGTGAGTCCTGCCTATAATAAATATGTTTAATTAAATTTAACTTGTGGCTTATTTGCATTCAGATGGATTTATTCTAATGTTCCTATTCTGAAGTTTCTGTCTTAGCTGTTTCTCTTCTAGTCTTGATTGTTGAAGGGGGCTTAGTAAGGATTTCAGAAAGAAATCAGTTTAGATCATGACAATGTAAAGTGAGATAGTTGAGGAAAGGAAAGGTAAAGGAGGAAATGTGAAGTTGGTACAGTGCTTGGGTGAAAGCATGTCTACAGGTTTCCCAGTAAGAATTGTTAATTCCCTAATGTTAGCACATGCATTATTTACCCACTCCTCTGAGAAACAATAAATATCACCTCTTCACATTTCCGCAGTTAATTGCTTCTTGAATTATAATTAGCACTGTAATCAAAGATTTTGCATATAGCGGGATCCCTGGGTGGTGCAGTGGTTTAGCGCCTGCCTTTGGCCCGGGGCGCGATCCTGGAGACCCGGGATCGTATCCCACGTCGGGCTCCCGGTGCATGGAGCCTGCTTCTCCCTCTGCCTGTGTCTCTGCCTCTCTCTCTCTCTCTCTCTCTCTCTCTCTCTCTCTCTCTGTGTGTGTGTGACTATCATAAATAATAATAATAATAAAAAAAAAGATTTTGCATATAGCAAATAACTGGGGACGTTAGGTAGAAGAACTTGCTTATTTCAGTGTTCAGTATAGTTGTTTTTTTTTTTTTTTAAGATTTTATTTATTTATTCATGAGAGACACAGAGAGAGGCAGAGACATAGGCAGAGGGAGAAGTAGGCTCCCCTTAGGGAGCCTGATGTGGGACTCTATCCCTGAACTCCAGGATCACAACCGCTGAGCCATCCAGGCGTCCCCAGGATAGTTTTTCAAGTTAAACCTTTCCTATACAGATCTAAGAGGGGATTATGTCTAGAGGGAGACAAAAACATTCAAACTTCCTTGTTTGTGTGCTTTTTAAAGATATTTAAAGACTGTGCCTTATATGGAGGTTGCCCATATGGAAAGTTACATTTTTAGAACCACATCTCTATATTGTTTTTATTTATGTAGCATTACAGTTCTCTTGGAACCTAGAAAGATCTTATTTCCTTTAACCTCAGTAAAGCATCTCAGATATTGTTATGAGGTAAAATCAACAACAAAAACTTTAAGGATGTAGCCATTGGGTTTCTTTAGGAAAAGGAGAGACCATTTTGTTGCTGCATAATTAAAATATTCTTTTTTTATTCTTTTTTTAATGGATTTCCCAGTTTCTTAGTTTGTTTAAAAGAAAATGTCAAAAGGCCATTATTAGCATAGATTCTGATTGATCAGATTGGTTTTACTAGTCTTTAGTTTTTTCTTGAATAGTGTTCTAGATTAATTTTCACAACATGCTGTAGTTATACTCAGAGAAGACCAGGGTATTCAGTTGTCATCTTATGTTTGGTTTTAGGATGGAATTGTAGATCCTGTTGACAGTACTTTAAGAGATTTTTGTGGTCGGTGTATTCGCGAATTCCTCAAATGGTCCATTAAGCAGACAACACCACAGCAGCAAGAAAAAAGTCCAGTGAACACTAAATCACTTTTCAAGCGACTGTACAGCTTTGCACTTCACCCCAGTGCTTTCAAGAGGCTAGGTGCATCACTTGCCTTTAATAATATCTACAGAGAATTCAGGTAAGTAAGCCATCTGACAGGGAAGAGTATAAAGAAGTTCTTTAAATTTTTAGTAATGATTTTGAAAAGTGACTGCTATTTATGTATCCATGTATTCATATAGCTGGCATTTAGTAGATTATTATATGTCAGATGCTGTGCTCTTTTCTGGGAATTAAAAAATGAATTAAAATGCAGTTGGCATTCAGGAAGCTCAGAAATTACTGAGAAATGCATACAAACATAATACCACAGCAGTCTTGTAAGTGCAATGGAAGACCTAAATCAGGATCTTTTGGAGCATAGAAAAGGAGAATCTAACCTTGCTTGAGTAAGTTAAAGAAGTCTTCCTGTAGCATTTTTTTAGAGAAAACTTAAAGGATAAATAAATCAGCCACAGCATTTCAGATCAAAGGGATGCAGTAGAGATAAAAAGTAGTGTTATATAAGGACATAAAGACATTTTATTTTCCTTGACTATGGAGTTGGAAGTTTAGAAGGGAGCACATAGTGAGCCTGCGTAGGTGCCTGTGTCTGTAGAGTTAAGAAACAGGTTACTTCTAGTGACAACAAGCCCTTGGAGTATTAGGAGAAGGAGCTGCATGTTTAAATTTCCTCCTGAAATCCAGCTGCCTATAGCTATATGGAGAGTAGATCTGAGTGAGATAAGAACAGGGCTAGGACACCAGTGAAGGGGCTATTTCACAAGTCTAAAGAAAATCATCAGTCCCTGACCTAAGGTTGTAGTCATGTTTGTCCATTCATTTATTGTTACCTATTAAGAATATTATGGGCCAGACACTGTGCCAGATGCTGGTGATATAAAGATATAGCCATTCATGAGGATTGCCTCTATAAAACGAGATAAAAATCACATAGATAATTGTAAAACTTGTTGCTGAAATCAGTTCTTTTAAGTAGTGGTAGATGATTACCAAGTAATCAGATAATGAGGAACCTGACTTTGATTGGTCCGGATAGTTTCTCTCAGGAAATGGGAGTTATGATAGAAGTGAGGGGAGCAATTGTAAAAATAAGATAAATGACTGAGAGAGACAGACAGACAGACAGAGATGGATAGATGGAGGGATAGGAAATTGTATATGTGCAGATGCACATTTATATGAAATTGACTAGAGTTTGAAGCACTGTGTAATTTTTTTTAGCTTTTAAACTGTGAAACATGTACAAAAGAGTGTTTAAAACGTGTATGAATCTGTCACTATTTTTAGATGACATATTATTATATATAGAAAACCCTGAAGACTTCACCAAAAAACTATTAGTTTTTTATTAGAACTATTATTTATTTTTTATTCGAACTAATAAATTCAGTTTCAGGACACAAAAACAATATACTCAAATCTATTGCATTTCTGTACCTTAATAACCACTTATCAGGACATGAAATTAAGAAAACATTTCTATTTATAATTACATCAAAAAGAATAAAATAGGAATAAATTTAACCAAGAAGGTGAAAGACCTATACAATGAAAACCATAAGACATTGGTAAAAACAACTGAAGAAGCCACAGATCAGTTAGAAAGATATACCATGCTCATGGATTGGAAGTATTTATATTGTTAAAATGGCAATACTCTCCCCAATATTCAACATATTCGGTGGAATCCTTATAAAATTCTAATATGACATTTTTCACAGAAACCAAACAATCCTACAATTTGTGTGGAACTACAAAATACATTAAGGAGCCAAAGTAATCTTGAGAATGAAGAGCAAAGTTGGAGGCATCATACTCCCCAATTTCGAACTATACTACAAAAGCTATAATAATTAAAATAGTATGATATTGGCATGAAACAGGTCAATGGAACTGAATAGAGAGCTTAGTAATAAACCCATACAAACATGGTCGATTAGTTTTTGACCGAAGAGCCAAGAATAAACAGTGGGAAAAGGACAGTCTCTTTAGTAGATTGATGTGGGGAAAACTGGACAGCCACATACAAAAGAATGAAACTAGACATATCTTACACCATACACAAAAATTAACTCAAATTGGATTAAGGACTTGAATGTAAGACCTGAAACCATAAAATTCCTGGAAGAATAGGTGGTAACCTGTTGGACATCAGTTTTGGCAATGATGTTTTGGTTCTGATTCCAAAAGCCAAGAAAAAACGTGAAAGTAGACATGTGGGACTATATCAACTAAAAGTTCCTGCACGGCACAGGAATCCAATAAAATGAAAAGGTGACAAAAGGTGATCAGTATCACAAGTCATCAGGGAAATGCGAATCAAACCACAATGAGATACTACCTCATGCCTGTTAGAATGGCTACTATGAAAAAGGCAAGAAATAACAAATTTTGGCAAGGATGTAGATAAAGGGAACCCTTGTGCATGTGCACTGCTGGTAGGAATGTAAATTGGCTTAGCCACTATGGAAAACAATATGGAGATTCCTTAATAAAAAATAGAAGTACCATATCCAACAATTCCAAATTTTGGATATTTGTCCAAAGGAAATGAAACACTAATTCAAAAAGATATATGAACCCCAATGATTATTGCAGCATTATTTAAAATAGCCAAGATAAGGCAGCCCGGGTGGCTCAGCGGTTTAGCACCACCTTCAGCCCAGGCCCTGATCCTGGAGACCCAGGATCGAGTCCCACGTTGGGCTCCCTGCCTGGAGCCTACTTCTCCCTCTGCCTGTGTCTCTGCCTCTCTCTCTCTCTCTCTCTCTCTCTCTCTTTTTCTCTCTCTTTCTCTCTTTGTCTCATGAATGAATGAATGAATCAATCAATCAATCCTTAAAAAAAATAAAATAGCCAAAATAAAATAGCCAAGATATGGAAAATGTCCATTAGTGGATGAATGAAGAAATATGGTATATATATATACAACAGAGTAATTCAGCCATAAAAAAGAATGAAATCTTGCCATCTGAAAACATGGATGGATTTGAGGTCATTATGTTAAGTGAAATAAGTCAGAAAGACAAATACCTTATGGTCCTACTTATTTGTGAAATCTTAAAAAAAAAAGAATAAAAAAAGAAAGCTCATAGATACAGAGAATAGATTGGTGGTTGTCACAGGCTGGGAAGAAGGGTAGGCAAAATAAGTGACAGAGGTCAAAAGGTACAAACTTCCAGTTTTAAAATAAGTAAGTCATAGAGATATACAGACATACCTCATTTTGTTACTCTTCACAGATACCACATTTTATACAAACTGACTTTGAGTAGGTCTATTAGCACTACTTTTCCAACACTTACTTTGTATCTCTAAGTCATGGGTTGGTAATTCTTAAATTATTTCAAACTTTCTAATTATTCCTGTATTTGGCATGGTGGTCTTTGATGTAACTATTGTAATTGTTTTGGGGTGCCATGAACTGCTCCCATATAAGACAGTGAACATAATTGATAAATGGCGTGTGTGTTCTGACTGTGCAACCAACTGGCTGTTCCCCCTTCTCTCCCTCTCCTTGGGGTCCCCTATTCCCTGAGACACAGCAACATTGAAATTAGGTCAGTTAATAATCCGACAATAGTCTTTAATAAAGTGAAAAGAAGATTGCATGTCTCTCAGTTTACATCAAAAGCTAGAAATGATTAGCTTGGTGCAGAAGGCCTATGAAAAGCCAAGACAGGCCAAAAACTAGGCCTCTTACGCAAACAAATACTGAATGCCAAGGAGAAGTTCTTGAAGGAAATTAAAGTGGACCCTCCAGCAAACATATGGATGAAAAGGAAGTGAAACAGACTTACTGCTGATATGAAGAAAGTTGTAGTGGTCTGGATGGAAGATCAAACTAGCCATAATACTTCCTTAAGCCAATGCCTAATCCAGAGCAAGGCCCTAACTCTCTTCAGTTCTATGAAGTGAGAGAGGAAAGGAAGCTGCAGAAGAAAAAATCTGAAGCTTTCAGAAGATCTGTGAAGTTTAAGGAAAGAAGCTGTCTTCATAACATTTAAAGTACAAGATGAAGCAGTGCTGATGTAAGAAGTTGCAAGTTAGATCTAGAAGATCTAGCTAGGATAGTTTATGAAGGTGCCTCCGCTAAACAACAGATTTTCAGTGTGAATTAAACAGCCTTCTGCTGGAAGAAGATGCCATCTAGAGCATCATAAATAGAGCAGAGAAGTCAGTGCCTGCTTCAAAGCTTCAAAGGACAGGCTGGCTCTCCTGTTAGGGGCCAATGTAGCTGGTGATTAAGTTAGAGCCAGTGCTAATTTACCATTCTGAAAATTCTAGGGCCCTTCAGAATTATGGTAAATTTCCTCTGCCTGTACTCTCCAAATGGAACAACAAAGCCTGGATGATAGCATATTTGTTTACAGCGTGGTTTACTGAAGATTGTAATCCCCCTGTTAAGAACTACTGCTCAGAAACAAAGATTCCTTTCAAAAGAGTACTGCTCAGTGACAGTGCACCTGGTCATCCAAGAGCTCTGATGGACAGGTACCGTGAGTTTATTTGGTTTTATGTCTGCTAACACAACTATGCATTCTGCAGTAAATGAATCAAAGAGAATTTTGACTATCAAGTCTTATTATTTAAGAAATTTCATAATGGGGGATCCCTGGGTGGCGCAGCGATTTAGTGCCTGCCTTTGGCCCGGGGCGCTATCCTGGAGACCCGGGATCGAATCCCACGTCGGGCTCCTGGTGCATGGAGCCTGCTTCTCCCTCTGCCTGTGTCTCTGCCTCTCTCTCTCTCTGTGTGTGTGACTATCATAAATAAATAAAAATTAAAAAAAAAAGAAATTTCATAATGCTATAAATTGAAAACCTGGTAAGGATTCACCATTCTAGATGCCATTAAGAACATTCATGATTCATGGGAAGAGATCAAAATATCAACATTCACAGGAGTTTGGGAGAAGTTGATTCCAACCTTAAGGATGACTTTGAGGGACTTAAGACTTCAGTGAGGGAGTAACTGCAGATGTGGTGGAAAGAGCAAGAGAACTAGAACTAGGAGTGAAGCTTTCAAGTGTGACCAAATTGCTGTCGTTTCATGACAAAACTTTAATGGATGAGGAGTTGCTTCTTATGGATGAAGGTGGTTTCTTGAGATGGAATCTTACTCCTGGGGAAGATGCTGTGAAGATTGTTGAAGTTTTAGAATACTGTATAAACTTAGTTGATAAAATAGTAGCAGAGTTTGACAAGATTGATTTCAGTTTTTAAAGAGGTTCTGCTGTGAGTGAAATGCTACCAAATAGCATCACCTGCTACAGAGAAATTAGATCTGAAAGGAAGAGTTGATCTATGTGGCAAACTTCTCTGTTATCTTATTTGAAGAAATTGTCACAGCCACCCAACCTTGAGCAGCCAACGACCCTAATCAGTCAACACCAGCCATCAACACTGAGGCAAGACCCTCTACCAGCAAAATGATTATAACTTGCTGAAAGCTCAGAAGATGGTTAGCATTTCTTAGCAATATAAAGTATTTTTAATTAAGGTATGTTTACAGACATAATACTGTTGTGCTTTTAATATACAGTACGATGTAAATATAACTATTATATGCCCTGGGAAACCAAAAAATTCACTTCACTCCCTTTGTTGAGATAATTGCTTTATTTTGGTTACCTGGAGCCAAACTTGTAATATTTTTCAAGGGTGCCTATATTGTAGAATATGGTGACCATAGTTAATACTGTATTACATATTTAAAGGTTGCTAGGAGAGTAGATTTTAAATCTTCACATCATGAGGAAAAGAATTTTTTAAATATATGGGGAGAGATGTTAACTAGACTTATTGTGGTGATCATATTGTAATGTATACAAATACAGAGTCATTTTGTTGTACTCCTGGAATTAACACAACATTATATGTCAGCTATACCTCAGTTAAAAAAAAAAGAACTCTGTATGTTGAATAATAATAAGTTTTTGCATACTCCCCACCTAGGTTAAGAAATAGAGTATTTTCAGTATTTCAGACCTTCCTCTTTGAGCTAATCATTCATTCTTCCTTTATATTATTTATTTCCTTGTTTGTCTTTTTTGTTTCTTTTTTTGTTTGTTTCATTTTGTATGTATGTACCCCAAATGATACATTTTGCAATTTGGAAGATTAGTGTTTTCACTGTTTGGTGAAATGTCCTGGGATATTCTGTTCAGTGGAGACTGGCTCCAGCTTCCATGAGAGATTACAGGAGCCCATTCCAAGGAATTAGAATGACAAGGTTCACGTTAGTTTTATAGCAGAGCTCTCCAGAATGGTGTGAAGTAGATCACAAGTGATATCTGGGAGAAATATCATCTGAGCGTGTGGACTGCCCTTTAATTTCTTCTTCTCAGCTCCATGTGGCTCACCATGTGTCAGGAACATGTCAAGGCAATACTCTCTCCTGGGATAAATGAGCACTGTCAGCTGATCCAAGTTGAACATGGACAGGAGAAGAACTTTTAAGTACCTGATCATGGTCACCCAGGTTAAGAAAGGAATTTGGGCCATCTTCTGTACAGGTTGAAAAATCCATACTGTGGTGTTTTGGTGGAGACAGCTGTTACCAAGTCTCTTTCTTGGGTCCCTGCTCACCTGTTGTATTGGATCTCCTTGCCTCTCCTCTTGGATTGTCCCCTGCACTTCTTCCCTGTTTGATTTTTTTGTTTTCTTTTCCTCTCTTGCCTTCCTTTTTGGATATTCTTGATTTGTTGGATCACATTCAAAATAGCTTTTTGAGAAAAGGTGCACAATAGAGAAATTCTTTGAAATCTTACATGTTGAATAATATAAATACAAGTCCTATTGTTTCCTTTCTGCATGCTGATGAGCTGTTTGCACACCTTTCTTGGGAAACACATTTGTAGGGCATCATTTTGTCATGTCATTTCTCTACTTAGCTGCTTTAGCTGGTGTTGATACCTAAGCTAAAAACTGTTATACTCAACCTGGCCTTTCAAGATCCCCCAGCTTTTGGAGTCTCATCACAAACTGCTCTTCCAGGCACTTGAGTGGCTCAGTTGGTTAAGCGTCTGCCTTCAGCTCAGGTCATGATCTCAGGGCCCCTGCTTGTGCTTGCTTACTCACTTGCTCTCTCCCTGTGTCAGATAAATAAATAAAACCTTTAAACAGAACAAACACACAGACAAACTGCTGTTCCAGATGAATCTTTTCTTTTAGCCTTGCCAGTTTGCTTGCTGTTTCCTGTTTTTCATCTTGCCTCCATGTCTTTGCCCATACCACACATTTATCAGTTAATGTCTTTTATTTTCAGTGTCAGATCTGGGTGTGTGACACCAAGGGAGATGGGGAGCTTGTGATTCTGACAGGCCCTGCCCCTCCTAGGATTCAAACTTAAAAAAATAAAAAAAAAAAAAACTAGGACTATATTCCTGCCAAATCAAACACCAGTTTGTGATTTTTGTTCTAAGTACTCTGGTCCTGCAGCACCTTGCTCTAGTTCTGTTTGTTCCAGGAACACTCCCTCAGTGGGTGGTGCAGTGACCCAGCACTTCATCAGATGAGTAGAACTTCCAACTTGTATTCTTCTCTGAACTCCTCTGAGACTCAGTTCCTAGCCCTGTCATTTTATATTTAATCGTTTACTGTCCTGTGTTATTAAGGAGCAAATTTTCCAGGGAGAGATCTGCCCTCTGCCCTTCACCCACCCATGAGTTTATATAAGAATTGGTCCACAGACATTTTTGGTCAAATTATTTACATGTGCCTGATGTGCTTGTAAAAGCTTAGCATTTATTACTGGTATTGACTTGTTTTTGGATAGGGTAAGAAATTTTGAAATTCTTTTATTTTGAAAGAATGTGGATTTGGTATGAAACCTTCTCTTCTATTTTAATGAGGTGTGTGGAAGTGTGGTCAGAACAATGGTTCTGAAGTTATTTGCTGTGAGCAGTTCTATAGACTGAAGGGTACTTGTTTGCAGAGAAAAAGCGAATATTGCCTCTTCTCGTTTATATAGTTTTTGCTCTGCTCTTGAGGAAGTTTTCTTCTTTGAGAATTATTTTAGGTTGCTTTATGTTTCAAAACATTTGAGCCATTTTTTAAAAAACATTTAATTCATGTATGTACTCGTTAATTCAGTAATGTACTCTTTGATAACATTACTCTTCTCCCTTGTCACTTCTGCTTTTTTGTTTTCCTAGGTGAAGTTCAATATTCTTTGTTTTACAGGGAAGAAGAGTCTCTGGTAGAGCAGTTTGTGTTTGAAGCATTGGTTACGTACCTGGAAAGTCTGGCCTTAGCACACACAGATGAGAAACCCTTAGGTAGGTCTTATCTGAGTGTTTTGTTTGCACACCAGTTCTGTTTGCCTGACAAATCTTCAAGAGCTTTACCACTCAGGGGTTAAGCCTCAGGTAATTCTCTCATAAGGTGATATTTTCTTTTCTCCTGTCTCCCATTTAGGGTGATAAGTATGAAAGGGAGATATGCCCCTCTGATGCCTCCAAAACAGTTAAGAATCTTCAATGCCACCTTCTTTCTGTAAGGCCCACCACATCTTGTTGGCCTCTGAGCTTGACCCCTAGATGGCCAGAGATTTGCCCAGGGCAGGCGGGACAATTTTATTGTGCGGCTCCAATGAAGCCAGCCAGTACTGTGATGACATGCAATGTGAGAATGTTCGATTGCACCACGTAAAAAAAGCTGGGTGTAATAATCACTGAGATGTGGCCAGTGTCTCACTGATGACAGTTTGAAATGTGGAAGATAGATCTCATTACAAGATTGTGATAAAGCTGTTTCAACTATAATTAAGAAATAATAAAATGATAAGTCAGAAATAGACTTAAAGTAGTTAAGACAGTAATAAATGGTAGACTTTACAATTAAATTCTGTATTATATAAAATTCTCTATTCTGTAAACTTATTTTACAAATAAATTCTGTGTTATGAACATCACGGAATTTCTGGGCTGGAAGTCTTAGATATCTTAATCAGAGAACTTAAGTGACTGAGCTAGGTCACATAGATGTGTATAGCAGAACTTCTTTTTCATTTATCCAGATCTTATTTTGTTTGTTTTTTTAAAAAGACAGGTTGTGTTCTACTCTCCTTCATGGTGATAGCCTACTGTGGGTAAAAATACTTAAAATTTAGCTCTTGCCATCAAAGAGCTTAAAATTGCTTAGTTTATCTTGACATAAAGGTGAATTTTCTCAAGTGAAATTTAACACTTAAAAATCACTGCCATATTTTCAAAGCATAGAAAGAAAACGTTTTCTTGGTTATAGAACTCAAATTAAATTGTGTAAGGCTCCTTTCCTAAATAACCTGAGGCATCTGTGGATGGCTTTACTAATTTACTTTGATTCAGAACGTACAGTGGCTTATTATTAATCTATCATATGGTTGAACCTACATAAGAAGAAGGGGAGGTCCAGGAATTTATACTCCTTAAATAATAACCTTAAATGGAGGTAAATAGGATCTGGCCTGGTAGGTGAATTTTGTAATACCTTCCATCTCAAATCCAGTATGTGAGGCTGTGCTTTGGCTGACTGGGGGCTGGTGAAGCAGTTTCTCATTAGGTGCAGTATTGCTATTAGTGTGTGCATGTGCACTATACTATTCTGAGATTTTAAATGTGGGTTTTGTTTTTGTTTTGGGACAGTGTAAATCATTTATTTAAATTATGTATTCTGAAGGATGAAACAATGTTGACTCTGTTGTAAAATTATCTTTTTAGTTAAAACCTATAATAAACCTATAATACTAATTTATTCACAATAATCAGCTATATATCTCCTTTGGAAATACATTTTTGTGCTTGAGAACAGGTACAATTCGACAATGTTGTGATGCCATTGATCACCTAAGGCGTATCATTGAAAAGAAGCATGTATCTTTAAACAAAGTTAAAAAACGACGTAGGCCACGGTAGGTGATACTGCTTCTTTTTTTATTTTTCCAACATAAAACTAATTCCTAGTAAAAGAGAATTTGGAAGGAATGTGTGGAAATATAAAGAATTTTCTAAACAAGAAATGTGTGGAAATAGATAATTTCTAGGACGCTTAAAAGCTTTGTGTTTGAAAGTGCTTGGTTTACTGTATTAATTTGTAACATTTATTTTACCTGCAGTAATTTTGAATGCAAATTTGATGTGGAATTTTTTGACTAGAAAATGCACAAACTATTGTGGAGCAAATTTAAAATATAAAAACTGAAATATTGAAATAGCATTTTGACAGTCGTAGAATTATAGAATGAAGCCAAGGCTGGCTTTTTAACCAGTGGTATCCAGCCTTCGCTCTTAATCCCATTCTAGCAAGGTCTCATTCTCCAAAAGGATGGTATGTGCCATGCATCAGCCCCTCCAGATCTGTGCAGGGCGTCTGGGGAGTCTGCTGGCTGCTACCACTCTGTAGAAACATTGGCACACGTAAATTGGATACTAATATTTTTTCTGTTGTTACAAAATTGATACTTTCAGATCCTATTCTTAACTTTTGACCTCTAGATCACTGGTTCTCAAATTAAAGCATGCATCAGAATTACCTGGAGGTCTTGTAGTAACACAGGTTGCAACACAGCTGAGTCCTATCCCCAGAATCTTTAAGGAGGTCTAGAGTGGGGCTAAGGATTTGCATTTTTTGCCAAGTTTTTAGATAATATTGTTGTAGCTGGATCAGCGACCATAATTTGAGAAGCACTCCTTTAGATTTCAGATCTCCCTTTGTTTTAAGGTACATTGAAAAGGAAACCTGAAAATATTGGTGCTGTTGTTTTAAGAAATGCATTTTAATTTTCCCTCAATTAGAAAAAAATGACGATAAGCAACATTTAGGACCTATTTAACCTGTGACATTTTAATGGTATACTAATGATAATACATTAAAAATAAATTGAAGTTTCTACATGTATTATTGTGGCAAAACTGAGCTTATGGTTTCTAGACTCTTGGGTCAGCCAAATGTAAATGTTGGGGTGTGTATTAAATATAGTGTATTATCTCCATTTAGAGGATTTCCACCTTCGGCATCATTGTGTTTACTGGATATGGTCCAGTGGCTGTTAGCCCACTGTGGGAGGCCCCAAACAGAATGTCGACACAAATCCATAGAACTCTTTTATAAATTTGTTCCTTTATTGCCAGGTATTGTGATCTTTATGTCCTGTAAATTATGAGTTTTGCTTCTATCAGTAGTAAAATAAATGTGTACTTATTTAAAATGTAACCTTTCCATTATTTAGATGAATGTTACAAATAATATGTTCCTCATAAAAAGATATGTTCTATATTCATTACAGATCATTTGTTTGACAAAGGATGAAAGATGGGCTATGCATTTCTCAAAGATTTTGAGAAGCAAGGAAAGGAAAAAAAGTGCTCTTTTGATGTCCAGTGATACAGAGGAAGTAAATTTAGAATTCCCCAGTATCTTTTATTCCACTCTATTTTTACTTTTTTATCTCATTTAAAGGAAATAAAAAGGGTTGGATAACCAGTGTGGTTGTTAACATGGTATTGGTGAAATAAGAAATTGCTAGACTGCTAAATCCGAATGATCCAGGCAGCCCGGGTGGCTCAGTGGTTTAGCGCCACCTTTAGCCCAGGGCCTGATCCTAGAGATGAGGCATCAAGTCCCATGTCAGGCTCCCTGCATGAGGCCTGCTTCTCCCTCTGTCCATGTCTCTGCCTCTCTCTCTGTGTATCTTTCATGAATAAATAAATACAATCTTTAAAAAAAAATCTGATCCCAGATTATTATGATATTAAAGGGAAGCAGTGAGCCTACGCTTTTTGATAATGAGTGCACTAAGCCATTAAACTATACTTAGAGACTCAAAATAATTACTAAGTTTCTTAATAGAGGAATAAATGTGCCTCAGGACAGACCCAGGCCCTGGCTTCCCTCTGTGGAGTGTACTGTGCAAGAACCCTGCTGTGCTGTGGTGTCTGGATAAGAAAGGTCATGGTACACTACAGATCATTTGGGGCTTTTTCCTCATTGAAGTAGAGGTGCAATTACTTGGTATAATTCTAAAACTTAGAAGATCCTCTATTTGTTATACTGTGGAATGTATTGTGATATGTTATAGATTTAATATAGCATATATTGCAATTGTATTAGTACTACAGATACTATTTGGTATATGAATATATGGTATATATTTGCCTACTATAATTTTAGGTATATAATGGTAATGTGTATTTGGATTTTTAATGTAGAGAATTGTTTAAAAAATCACTAGTATTTTAAATTTGTTTATTGCTTTTAGTTAACAAAGTTAGTTTTGTATGTTGTCATTCTCACAGAACTCCTATAAAGTCCATGAAGATTGGATGGGGTGGGGATCCCTGGGTGGCTCAGCGGTTTAGCGCCTGCCTTCAGCCCAGGGCGTGATCCTAGAGTCCCGGGATCGAGTTCCACATCAGGCTCTCTGCATGGAGCCTGCTTCTCCCTCTGCCTGTGTCTCTGCCTCTCTCTCTCTCTCTCTCTCTCTCTCTCTCTCTCTCTCTCTCTCTGTGTCTTTCATGAATGAATAAATAAAATCTTTTTTTTTTAATTTTTATTTATTTATGATAGTCACAGAGAGAGAGAGAGAGAGACAGAGACACAGGCAGAGGGAGAAGCAGGCTCCATGCACCAGGAGCCCGACATGGGATTCGATCCCGGGTCTCCAGGATCGCGCCCTAGGCCAAAGGCAGGCGCCAAACCGCTGCGCCACCCAGGGATCCCTGAATAAATAAAATCTTAAAGAAAAAAGATTGGATAGGGGGAAAGGTGGGGCATGTTTTCCTTATTTTTAAAGGGAACTTGGCCCAGATATTACATGGGTGGAACTATTAGTTGGCAGACCTTACCTCCCTTCCAGTTGGATCTCTGATTCTCCTGCAGCCCACACAATTCCTAGTGATGTCAGCTTGACGGATCCCAGACATTTCTATTGTTTTTCTCAGTTGCTTACAATAGGGACCTCACATATTTTCAATGAAATAAGTAGAGTTCTGCTCAGAATTGTTTCTGTTACACAAAGGATGCTAAATAGGTGAACCTTGTCCTGCTGCCAACATATACTTTGTATGAAAGGAATGAACATTCCATCACTTATGTTCCTGTGTGCCCCCCAATGTTGCATCCACCTTTCTCTCTGCTATGTTTTTCCCCAGTGTTTTTTTTTTGTTTTTATTTTAATTCCAGTTAGTTAACATATAGTGTCATAGTAGTTTCAGATATACAATATAGTAATTCATCAACTCCATTATGATCTGATGCTGATCATATCAAGTGCATACCTAATCCCCACCACCAACTTAACTGATCCTCCCAACCCCATTCCTGTCTGGTAACCGTCAGTTTGTTCTCTATAGTTAAGAGTCTTTTTCTTGGTTTGTCTGTTTTCCACCCTGTGTTCATTTGTTTAGTTTCTTAAATTCCACCTATGAATGAAATCATAAGGTATTTGTGTTTTTCTTGCTTAGCGTAATGCTCCCTATGTCCATCCATGTCATTACAAATGGCAAGATTTCCATTTTTTTATGGCTGAATAATATTTATACCACATCATTAGTCGATGGACACTTGGGGTGCTTCTGTATCTTGATTTGTAAACAGTGCTGCCCCCAGGGTTTTTTTGTTTGTTTGTTTGTTTTTTTAAGAGGGGGTGGGAAGGGAGCAAGAGAATTTCAGGCAGGCTCTACAGCCAGCCCAGAGCCTGATGTGGGGCTCAATTGATCCCACAACCTTGAGATCATGACCTGTGCCAAAATGAAGTCGGACACTTAAACAACTAAGCCACCCAAGCCCCACACCACCAAGTGGTTTTTTAAAAAAAATTTTTTTTAAATATTTTATTATTTATTTATTCATGAGAGACACAGAGAGAGAGAGGAGCAGAGACACAGGCAGAGGGAGAAGCAGGCTCCATGCAGGGAGCCTGATGTGGGACTCGATCCCGGGTCTCCAGGATCACACCCTGGGCTGAAGGCAGCGCTAAACCACTGAGCCCCCCCGGCTGCCCCCTCAAGTGGTTTTTAAGGGACAATGTTAAGTGTCTCTTTAGATCAGAAGTCCTATGTCTTGAAAGTATACTGTCATCTGGGCAACTCCCAGATCAGTGGAATGTAATGACAAGTGAAGGCACGTCCCTATGACATGTATCTGGGGCTTTGACTCTTGAGACTCATGTTGAACAGAAAGCCAGGGTGACGGCAGCCATAGTTTGGAGGAGAGTGAGAAGGAGGCAGGGATCTGGGAAGGTTCCCAGCAATACAGATGTGCTTTCCAAGGCTTAGCTCTTCATCCATATGTTCCCTTATCCTCTTCTTTATCTACACCTGTCTTTCTCTGTCCTTCTATGACTCATAGCTAGCATTTGATACAGAACTTAAATACTGTTTTTACTCATTTTCTTTGTCAGTATTTAAAATAATGGAATGTTTAATAATTCTCGCTAAAACAAATCGGAAGGGGCACCTGGGTGGCTCAGTTGGTGAAGCATCTGCTTTTGGCTGAGCTCAGGATCTCAGGGTCCTGGGATTGAGCCCTGAGTCAGGCTTCCTGCTCAGCCCGGGAGTCTGCTTCTCTCTGTCTCTGCCCCTCCACCTTCTTGTGCTTGCTTTCTCTCTGTCAGATAAATAAAATCTTTAAAAAAAATAAACCTGAAAACATGATATGGAATCTTTTACATACATAGCTCTGATAGGTATTTTTTAACACAATAAAGAAACAGTTTCTTCTTACTACATCAGAAATACATTATTGTTTTGCATTCTTTTCTAAGTTCATTAGAATCAGGATGATTTGACCTTTTGAGAGTCATTGATTTCAGAGCCTACAAAATACAATTAAATGTTTTTTTCTTTAGTTTTGAAAACGGTTAATACCTAAAGGAAAAAATATCTTTCAAAAAGATAATTCAAGGCTTTTATTTAATAAAAACTGCACTATGTGATAATATTCTAAGCACTTTTTCAAATACTAACTACTTCAATTCATTTAATCTTTGTAGGAACCGTATAGGTGGATACTGTTAGGATTCTCATTTACAGATGAGGAAACTGGGACACAAGAGAGGCCAGGTCTGCACAGCCAGGAAGTAGGATAGGAACTTGAAAATCACAGTGCTTTTCTTTGTGTTTATTCTTTAAATTACTCCTGGGGAAAAAAGGATAATAATTTTCAAGAGAAGAGGCAAAGGAAAGGATATGATGCTTATAGCTGTTTAAATAGTATCCAAGCATTTTTATAATGTTTAAAGTAACTGAAGAGAATAGCTTTGGTGGAAATACCTTCTTGGCAGTAATTACAGTGAAACAAGTTATGATTGCTATAGTTAAAAAAAAATTACCCCTTATCATAAGTTGTACTACTGTGGTAGGTACTTTATATGGGACTTTTATATGGAAACTGTATTTGAAATATTGTGGTATTGCCAGTCTTGTTCGAGTCTAATTATGTTCGTTAACATATCAGAGTTTAATTCTTGTTTTTTATTATTGGGGGATGTTATTTTTATTTAGGCACCATGATTAGATTAATTTTAGTTATATGAAATTATGTGTTTTCATCTTGTTTCTTTTTTAAGGCAACAAATCTCCTTCTTTATGGCTGAAAGATATTCTTAAGAACAAAGATACTTCCTTTCTCATAAACACATTTGAGGGGGGTGGAGGAGGTTGTGATCGGCCGTCAGGCATCCTTGCGCAACCCACCCTCTTCCATCTGCAAGGGCCGTTCAGCTTGAGAGCTGCCCTGCAATGGATGGACATGCTTTTGGCGGCTCTGGAGTGCTACAACACATTCATTGAAGAGAAAACCCTCAAGGCACCTGACGTCCTGGGTAGGTAATATCTGTGCCCCAAGTTACTGTGGTTCAGTTCTACCTGAAGTTATTCAGGGAAAAACAGCAGTAGGGTCTTTGACTAGACAGGCAACACTGTCTAGAATCACAGAAACAATGGCAACAGCAGGGAGCATTAATTTAGTCCTTGCATTCTTCTTGAAGCTCACAGTGAGGGTGGGGGTCTGGTGTACATGACAGCACGGAGGCTACAGAAACCTGCCCAGAGTCTGTACTTTTGTGCCTTGTTCACAGGTTCTTAATGATCTTTTTATCAAATAACCTTTTGAGGTTTTCATTTGCATGTAGCACCTTAAAAGAGTTTTTCATGGGTGCCTGGCTGGCTCCGTTGACAGAGCATGCAACTCTCATTTCTTTTGTTTTTAAGAGAAAGAGCATGGGAGTGGGATAGGGAGGGACAGAGCGAGAAGGGAGAGAAAGAATTAGGCAGTATGCTCAGCATGGAGCCAGATGTGGGGCTCAATTTTATGACCCTGAGATCATGACCTAAGCTGAAATCAGGAGTCAGAAGCTTGACCGACTGAGTCACCCAGGCACCCGGAGCATGCAACTCTTGGTCTCAGGCTTGTAAGTTTGAGCCTCACATTGGGCAGAGAGATTACTTAAAAAATAAAATCATTAAAAAAATGTTTTTGAGGGCACGTGGGTGACAAAATCAGTGAAGCTGCTGACTCCTGGTTTTGGCTCAGGTCTGACCTCAGGGTCATGAAATCAAGACCCACATTAGGCTCTGTGCTCAGCAGTGAGTCTGCTTCACATTCTCTGCCTGTCCTGCTCATGTTCTCTCTCTCTCTCTCTCTCCCCTTTTCCTCTCAAATAAATAAATAAATCCTTTAAAAAGTATTTATAAAAGAGTTCTTCCTTACATGAGGCTCTTTGATCTTATTGCATGTTTCTGAGTAGCATGTCTTTATTTTTCTTACATTGTCCTGTTCCTTAGTATTTTTATTGTAGTATAATGATCATAGTATTTTTTTTTATTTTTTTATTTTTTTATTTTTTTTTTTTTACAGAGGGTAGAATGTAGAGTGGAATGTTTTGTGTGCTCCTTAGCCTGTGCTGGGAAGAAGGAGATGCAGACTCCATCCTTCTAGTGACCTAAATGGGAGATGGGTCCTGGGAGGTGTGTCTCTCTGAGAATATAGTATCTGCAGAGGACCATAGCTGAGAGCTACATTGCTCTGAGCTTTGAGGTTCGCTGAGGAGGCTCTTTTGGTCTTTGGGGGTTTCCCCTAAATCCTCTCTTACAGGCTGAACATCCAACTTACCACTTAAAACATATTCTGTTATTTACCTGATTTTCACTTTAGACACAGCATCCATTTTGGTGGTGGCTGACTAAAGGAACTACCAGTCTCTGATTCTGTCAGAGGTGAAATCTGTATTTCGGGAACTGGGGAGAGAGAACCAGGCTATCTTGTCTTCCTTCTAGTTTAAAGAAGTTGGAGGCAGACATAGTAGGGAGTATGTAATGTGTGCAGTGCACATGCACACACTGGGGTTCGGGAAAACAGATTTTTTTTTTGTATATATTTTTTATTGGAGTTCGATTTGCCAACATCTAGTATAACACCCAGTGCTCTTCCCGTCAAGTGCCCCCCTCAGTGCCCGTCACCCAGTCACCCCACCCCCACCACCCTTCTCCCCTTCCACTACCCCTTGTTTGTTTCCCAGAGTTAGGAGTCTTTATGTTCTGTCACCCTCTCTGATATTTCCACTCATTTTCTCTCCTTTCCCCTTTAAGGGAAAATCGATTTTATACTATTTTGAGATCTGACTCTCTAGCATGGGATGCATCATGATTATAGTATGGGATTCTCAGAAGGATAGGTCACATAAGTTCTGATATTTTAAAAACAATAGTAGCTGTTTACTAGCAAATAGTTCCTTAAATTCATTGTTTTAAAAGATCTCATGTCATTTTGAAAATTTCAACAAGAAAAAAGGCATAGGAAATAGGTAAAACCTTCTCCTCTACTTGCATTAGCTAGTGACAGATACAAAAACAGTGTAGTGTTCACTTTTCTAAACTTTTTCTATGCATATAATATGTATTTTAATTTTAATTTTTTAACTTAATGGGATTGTTACATGCTTTACTGTAATTTTCTTTTTAAAAAGAAACTCTTAAAAGGAAACTTAACATATTGGATGTCATTTTATGTCAGTTTATATACCTTGAGCTAATTTAAATGAGCATATATTACTAAATTATCCAAATGTGTGTCACAGTTAAGCAGTCTTTGAAATGTTGATTTACCTTGTGAAGAGTGGGGGACATTAAAAACAATTTGCCTTCTTTCAAACTTGACAAAGAATTCCTCGTTGCTTTCAGTGATTGAGCAAGTTGTAATTTCTGATGTGTGGACATTTGAACGTGAAATTGTTAGCATTACTTAAAAAAATGTATTCATTGGAGCCTAAGTACTGTAGATGTTTTTTGTTCAACATTATCAGGCTTAAAATGATTTCTTTATTTGGAAGTCTTGCAAAGTTCCTGAATTATTACCATTCCATACCCTTTTTTTATCCTAAGTATTCTCTGTTTTTATGCTTGTGTTTTTACTCATAACTCTACATTTTTGCATCAAAATGGTCTGAATGTTACAGGTTTCTTCTGTGTTGCACTATCATTGCATTTATGTTTAGGGCATTTAAAGCTTATTACTATTAAAGCAATAAAAATATAATAAGCATTTTGATAAATAATTATTACATATAACAAGTAAAATTATATGATTAGCATTCTATTGTTTTGTATAGATTTTAATAAAAAACTTGTTCACATAAACAAGTGCCATATTTGAATAATGCTAAAATGTTCATTTTTTTTCCTTCATTTAACATATCTATAATTGGAATGTTTCATGCAGCCTGTGGTCTGTTGGATTCGAGGATATTTGGTGTTTGAAAATGAAATTCTTAATATATTTTCTCTAATTTCTTTGAATACATGGTGACCTGTCATCAAAATTATTTTTAATGATCTGTCAAGTTGGCAATTTGATGAACTCAAATTTTATGAAAACAAAGAATAGGAAAACCCTCAGACTTATAAAAGCATTTCTTAGTTATTAGCTTTACTCTTTCTGTACACTACTTTTTAAAATTGTCCCTTTGTTTAGGAGGTCTTTACACCCTGGTATAAAACTACAGTTAAGACGGAGGAGAGGAGAAAGTTGCTTTGTCTTTCTTCCATAAGCAAAACTGGGTTAATCATGAGAGGAGTAGAGATGGGACAGGAGAACCAGCTCCTTCATATTTATAGACAGACATGTGATCACGTTTTATGAAAAAGTCCATTTAGGAGTTGATGTGATTGTTTCCATGAAAGGACTACTGCCAGAATTTCTCTGTTGCCCCTTTGAAGGACATTTCAGTTGTTTTTGTTTCTTCATCATTAAAAATTACTAAAAATGAACATCCATAAAGCACATCTTTAGAATTCTGCCATTGTTTCATTATAAAATTTCAGTGCTAGATCGAAGCATATGAGCATTTTTAACATTTGATAGAAATTGACATGCATATTTTTTAAAGCTTTTTCAGTTTGAATTTTGACTAAAAGTATATCATGCCTGTACTTAAAGAAGGAATTTTGCATTAATCATAGTGGAGTTAGAAGGAAGTTAGAATGTTAATAATTGAGTATAATTTTTTTAGGTACTGAAACACAGTCTTCACTTTGGAAAGCGGTGGCTTTCTTTTTAGAAAACATTGCTATGCATGATATCACAGCAGCAGAAAAGTGCTTTAGCACTGGGGCAGCAGGTCACAGACCCAGCCCACAAGAGGGAGAAAGATATAATTACAGCAAATGCACAATTGTGGTCCGGATTATGGAGTTTACCACAACGCTGCTCAACACCTCCCCAGAAGGCTGGAAGGTAAGTCACTCCTACTGCTCTGTTAGTTTGAGATCAGTACCTGGCAGTGGAAAAATATTTTCCAGTACCTATTAAAAGTGGTTTTGACTTTCTTAGAACTTTCCATTGCTGTAGGAGTTATGTGTTCTTGAAAGTTATAAAGCTTTGCATATACTTCAGATTCTTATTGTGTGAATAAAATACAAAATAATTTTTCTAAATGTCTTATTGAATATTGCATTTTATGGTATGATTGATGAAACATTTGTCTTAGGAAACATGCATTATCATATTTGTAAATGTATCTGTGAGATTTATTATATAAACAAAGTCCAGTCCGTCTATCCATTTAATACATATTAAGTGTCTACTATATGTCTGACTCTATCTCCAGACACAGTATGTCCCTAAACGAGGGGCGTAAGGCTCTGATCCACAGGCCACATCCCACTTGCCTGCTTTTGTAAAGAATGTTTCACTGGAACTCATCCAAGCCCATTTGTCCATGTATTGTCCATGGCTGCTTTCACATTGTGATGGCAGTTATTTCAGTAGTTGCAGCACAGACTATGGGACCCACACACCCTAAGGTATTTGTTACCTGACCCTTTACAGAGAAAGTTGCCAACCCTTGCCCTAGCCAGGCAAAAATCTCCAGCTTCATGGACCTTACACTAGTGAAATCTAAGTGCGGACTAATGGATATGTTTTTATTTGAAATCAACTTTTACAGCTCCTTGAGGAGGATTTATGTAATAACGAAAACTTTATGACACTCTTGGTGAAAACCCTATGTCAGCCCTCGAGCATAGGTTTCAACATTGGTGATGTCCTAGTTATGAATCATCTTCCTGATGTTTGTGTAAACCTGATGAAAGCTCTAAAGAAGTCCCCATACAAAGACACCCTGGAGATGTGCCTCAAGGAAAAAATAACAGTACAGAGGTGGGCATTCTGATCATGCTCGGGATCAGTGTTGTGTTGGAATTTAAGGTTGCAGCATACTCTGGCAGCTATGAGTGTGGATGCTATAGCTCCATTTCCTGAAGTAGTGGATCTCATCAATGGGGTGTTTGACGCAGAGGATCTCATTAATTTGAAAATCATCTATTTAACACATGCCTTCCCTGCACCTTATGGAATGCAAGCCTCTGCAGTGACTTAGCCTCGTGTTGATTTCCACGGCTGGATCCACGGGCCCTATGGTCAGTGTTAACCCATGTTTCCTTTCCTGGATCATGGAATGAATGTGAATGTCAAGGAGTCAGGAAACACATTTATAACAGAACCCACAGTTTTTCAGTGTATCCTGCTCATTTGGTGAGATGAGCACTCATCTCGTTTCTTTTTGTTTTTCTTCCCTGGCAGCATTGAGGAGCTCTGTGCCGTTGACCTGTATGGTCCTGATGCTTATGTGGATAGGGCCACACTGGCTTCTGTTGTGTCAGCTTGTAAACAGCTTCACAGAGCTGGTGTTTTGCATGTTGTATTACCGTCTCAGGTAACCAGCCAATCTGTTTTTACATTTCTCTTGGCTTTATTAAGCTAATTAGTCTATTTTATATATATATAAACATATATATATATATGTTTTAAATATCCTATATGTATAGAATATGCTGAAATGGGAATTTGAGAATTACTTGCAGCAGACATGTGTTAACTTAGAATATGAATATATATTAAAAAAAAAGGACACTTATATTTCCAGCAGCCTTCTGAAGAACTTTAGGGATGAGTTCCTATTGTGCCTTTGTGGGTAGGCAATATAAATGAAAAAATATAGCATAGAAAGCGAAGTTGAGTGAAGATTTTCCTGATAATTAGGTAGTCAGTGTTAATGAACATGGATTTTTTTTTTATTCATGAAAGGTGTGAAATTGTGTGTTTTTATAAAATGTCTTATTGCTGAATGTTTCAGCATTGACTTTATTTTAGTCTGCAGATCAGCGTCATTCTGTTGGCATCAAACTTCTTTTCCTGGTTTATAAAAGCATTGCACCTGGAGATGAACGAGAGTACTTTCCTTTGCTAGACCCCAGTTGTAAGCGATTAGCCAGTGGACTTCTGGAGTTGGCCTTTGCTTTTGGAGGACTGGTAGGAACAGCAGCTATATGCTATGCTATCCTAATGATATAAATATATAGCTCACTTGCAGTGTGTTTCTAAAAGCAAGAATTTAGCTGGAATTTAGTAAGTTCTTAGCTTAGCAAGTACTTTAATAGATTTACATGATCTGACTTCCTTTCTAAAAGAATTTTTTTTAATAAAAGATATAGGACAATATTCTTCTTCTTTTTTTTTTTTTTTGTAATATTTTTATTTATTTACTCATAAGAGACACACAGAGAGAGGCAGAGACACAGGCAGAGGGAAAAGCAGGCTCCACACAGGGAGCCCGATGTGGGACTCGATCTTGGGACTCCAGGATCACGCCCTGAGCTGAAGGCAGGCATCCAACCCCTGAGCCACCCAGGCATCCCGACAGTATTCTTCTTAAATTGTGGTTTTGTCTATCCCATTTTGTTTCTTAAAAGACTTTATAAGGCAGAGAACATTTTGTGAATATAAAGCTGATACAGTGGCTTTCTCTTCCCCTGTCCTTGGTGACCTTCAGATGGCTGATATGGGAGGACCCTTGAAGGATAATTCCACAGGCTCCCCAGAAAGATGTCTTCATCGATTTTTGAACCATGCAGGGGTGGCCTCAAACAGTCTCTGTAGTAGCTGAGATCTGCTAGCCAGTCTTTTGTGTTCATTGCTTTCACCCATCTTCCCTTTTCCTGTAGCAGAAAGCAGAATCTTCTTTGCCCCTTTATTCACTTAATGTAAACAAATCACATATTTAAATTAATAAAAAATACTCTTACTCGCCTCTCCCTTCAAAGCAGCAACAGGAAGATTTTCTGGATATTTGGGAGAGTCAGGGAAGATTTCTTTCATGAAATGAAACCTAGAAAATGCATGCTTATTGAAATGTATACAATTCAAACTTGAACCCAGGCCTTCAAATACCAGTTCTCTTTAGAGTTCTCTTTAGTTCTCTACTGTGTGATTTTCCAATACCAAAGTTAGCAGCTTCCCAGGAGTCCTTCTCTAACAGGTAAAATTGTACCTTTCCTTGCTTCTTCACAGTGTGAGCACCTTGTGGATCTTCTCCTGGATACAGCAGTGTTGTCTATGCCAGTCTCAGGAGAGTCCCAGAGAAACATGGTCAGCTTCTCTCATGGAGAGTATTTTTATAGCTTGTTTTCAGAGATAATCAACACTGAATTGTTGAGAAATCTAGATACGACTGTATTGAAGCTCATGAAATCATCTGTGGATAATCCCAAAATGGTAATGAAATTTTTATTCTTATTTATTTTACTTGAAGCAAGAATTACTATCAGAGTCCACTCATTGGGCTAGAGACGCTGCTTTTGTTAGTGAAAAACTTGCCCCTCATGTAGTACATTACCTACACTTGTGAGTTCATTGTGAAATATTTACTTAAATGAAGTGTATTTTCTTATATAATGCATATAAAAAGATTGCCATATTCTTGAAAAATATCTAAACAAAATAAGATCTCTTCTTGGAAGCTCTTGCCAATGTTTGCAGACAAAATCAAAGGAAAGAAAACCCATCTTTAATGAACATTTAATAATGTTAAGTGGACATTGAAACATTGATTATTTTTTCTAATCTCTCACTCCCCCAGAATCTCTAGGCGTAATATTACAAGGCATGGCTATGCAGGATACTGACTTTTGTGAAGAAGTGCTGCTGGAGCTTAAAAGCCCATCATGAGACCCGAGCCCCCCTTTCTTTTTGCACCAGCCATCAGCTAGTCTTATACACTCGGTGTGCTTTCTGTATTCATGGTCCTTTCACAGATTGGTATAGAGTCATTATTTCCTGCATGCTCCTGCTGTAGCCCACTTTGCCCCCTCACATTGAACCTTGGAGCTCAGTATTTAATAGATAGTTGACTTGGGTTTGCTACACTTGTAAAAGTTTGAAATTTAACCCAGTCCATAGACAGTCAGGAACTGGAACTATTAGGAATGACCATTTAAGGGAGAATGCATAATTTCCTACTGACTTAAGCTTTTACTCCAAAAATTGCTTGTTGTCTTGTGGTGGGGAGTATTTTGTAGCAGGTTGTACTAGATATTTGAATTTAAAGTTAGAAATGAACTTTTAGTAGACCCGTGACACCCAGGAAATAGAACATTTTGATCTCTGAAGCTATTTAAACTTCTGGTGAAGGTAATGAAGAAAAGCCATACATATTTACCTCTACTTAATCCTCAGTTCCCTGTAAAATGACAGAAATGGGGCTTTTTTCATTTTGTTTTTTAGAGCACAATGCTAAAAGGACACGTTAAAAGATGAGAGACGAGTGACATTTTGGAAGCTAGAAAGCAAAAGGAGAAGTTGTAACAGACTTTAGAGTCCAAGAAAACTGCAGTGTACCATAGTGGTGGGGAGATGGGCAGTTGCTTCATGCTGCAGAACCCACACCTTCTGGTGTCTGCTGATGGAAGCAGAATGCAAAGGAGAGGCTGAAAAGAGGGGGACTGTTTAAATGTTAGCTGTCCCCTGCCTGGTCACCTGGCCTTACCTTGTCCTCAAAGGACTGATCTTTTTGTGCTTGAGGACACTGGGGGCAGCCAGATCTCTGCAAGGGATAAGTATCTCTGTACCGGGGCACTCTAGGCAGACTTGAGTGAGTCTAGGCAGACTTTTTTTGTATTTTCTTTTCTTTTTCTTTCCCCCTCCCCTCCCCTCTCCCTTCACTCTCTTTCTTTCTTTCTCAGATCTTTAGTCAAGATTAGAGGCATGTTCTGTATATAACACCAGTATTAAGTAAAGTTTGAAATACTTTATGCCATACAAAACCATTTTATTATTCCACAAGTGAGAACTCTGTTTTGTACTTTACTCTTTCAGATTTAATGTCAGTTCTTGCACTCTTCTGACTTTAGTCTCCCACTAGTATTTTTGAACAACCAAAATGTTTCTGGTGTGTTGCTGTATTTTTGTATTTTGCCCATTATTCTATTGGGATGGAACTTCTTAATAATTTTTAACAGATTTTTGTATATTAGGAATAGTAGACATCTGTCATGTATGCAAAAAGTACTTTTTCCTACTGGCCATTTGTCTTTCAGTCTCACTTGGAGTGTTTATTTTATACAGAAGTATTTATTAAATTTATTAATCTTCTTTTCTGTCATTCCCGTCTTTCATGTCATATTTATTAGAAAGGCCTTCTCCAACCCAATTATTATCTTTAAAATCTGCCCATTTTTTTCTGTTACTTCTATAGGTTCGTTCTTTATTTCTTTCTTTCTCTCTTTCTCTCTCTCTTTCTTCTTTCTTTCCTTCTCTCTTTCTCTTTCTCTCTCTCTTTCTTCTTTCTTTCTTTCTTTTTATTTATTTCTTTCTCTTTTCTTTTCTCCCTTCCCTTCCCTTCCCTTCCCTTCCCTTCCCTTCCCTTCCCTTCCCTTCCCTTCCCTTCTCCTCTCCTCTCCTCTCCTCTCCTCTCCTCTCCTCTCCTCTCCTCTCCTCTCCTCTCCTCTCCTCTCCTCTCCTCTCCTTCTCCTCTCCTCCTTCTCTCCTTCTTCTCTCTTTCTTCTCTTTTTTCTTTCGAGACAGAGAGAGAGAGGCAGAGACACAGCCAGAGGGAGAAGCAGGCTCCATGCAGGGAGCCCTGATGTGGGACTCGATCCACTGGACCACACCCTGAGCTGAAGGCAGATGCTCAACCTCTGAGCCACCCAGGTGTCCCCCATAGGTTCTTTTTTTTAACAAATATAAATAATGCAAAGAGCACTGGAGAAATGGCATTTTTTTTCCCAAATGGTTACTTACTGGACATTTATTCACTAATACATATTCTCCTCACTGATTCAAGATTCTCACTTTCTTGAATACTAACTCCCTGTACATATTTGGATCTGAAGTTGGACATTTTAATTTCTTAACCATCTTTTTCTCAGCCAGTACCATGATGTTTTAATTCCAGCAGTTTTAACGTACAACTAATCATCTGGTAATGCAATATTCCTTCTTAGTATTTTTGTTTTTCAGACTTTTCCAGCGATACTTGCATATTCTTGAAAGTGAAATTTAGAATTGTTTTGTCAGGTTCCTCATTACCCTTCCCACAAAATGTAGGGATTTTGAATGATAATACACTGTGTAGAGTAAATTTAACCAAATTAACCTCTTTTTTTTTAAAAAAGCCTGTTTTTCTAAGGTTCGTCTCTCCATTTATTCAAACCTTTATTCATATTCTCAAATTTCTTTGTCATACTATTATGTAGAATGCTACATTTCATTCATCTAGTTACTACATGTTTCTTAATATTTCTAAATACTGGATACTATTTAGTTTTAAATGTAAATGGAATATTTTCCCTTTATATTTTTTTCCCCAAAGATTTTTAAATTTATTTGAGAGAGAGAGAGAGAGAGAGAGAGAGAGAGAAGAGAGAAAATGAGTAGGAGAGAGGTAAGGGGAGATAGAGAGAGGTAACTCTCCGCTGAGCACAGAACCTGACATGGGTCTCAATATCATGACCCTGAGATTATGATCTGAGTTGAAATCGAGTCAGATGCTTAACTGATTGAGCCAACCAGGTGCTCCTCCACTTTATATTTTCTTTATAAGGATGTGGTATATGAGAAAACTATTGATTTTGTTTATTTTATAATCATTCACATGAATGAATATCCTTTTTCTTTTTTCCAAATTTATGAAGATGTAATTGACATATAGCATTTTATAAGTTTTAGGTGTACAACATGCTGATTTGATTTAATCAAAGTTGATAATCCTACAGAATGATTACTGGGATGTTTAGTTAATGCTCATCATCTTAAATATTTTCCTTGCAATGAGAAATTTTACATACTTCAGCACTTTTTTTTTTTTTAAGGATTTTATTTATTTATTCATGAGAGACACACAGAGAGAGAGAGAGAGAGGCAGAGACACAGGCAGAGAGAAAAGTAGGCTCCATGCAGGGAGCCCAATGTGTGGTACTCTAGGATCTCACCCTGAGCCTAAGGCAGACCCTCAACCACTGAGCCACCCAGGGGTCCCAGCACTTTTCAGATATATGAAACAGATTTTAAATTTAGTCACCATGTTGTACATTACATGTCCAGAATTATTTTATAATTGGAAGTTGTACCTTTGACTACTTTGATTCATTTTGTCCAACTCCCTATGGCTGGCCTCTAGCAAGCACCAGTCTGCTCTCTGTATCTGTGAATTTGGCTTTAGGTGCCACATATGTGTTTTCATACAGTTTATCTTTCTCTGTAGGACCTATTTCACTTAGCATAATGTTGTCAGAGTCCAATCTATGTTGTGACAATTGGCAAAATTTTCTTCTGAATAATATTTCATTGTGTATGTATATACCACATCTTCTTTATTCATTCATCTGTTGATGGACACAAATTGTTTCCATGTCCTTCTATTGCATATAATGTTGCAATGAACATAGGGGTGCAGATACATTTTTTAGATAATTATTTCCTTTTCTTCAGGTATATACCAGAAGTAGAATTGCTGGACCATGTGGTACTTCTGTTTAATTTTTGGAGAACTGCCACACTTATTCCACAGGGCTGTACCAATTTGCACTCACACCAGCAATGCACAAGAGTTCCCTTTTCTCCACATCCTCACCAACACTACTACTACTTCTTTTTTTTTTTTTTTAAGATTTTATTTATTTATTCATGAGAGACAGAGAGAGAGAGGCAGAGACACAGGCAGAGGGAGAAGAGGCTCCATGCAGGGAGCCCGATGCAGGACTCGATTCTGGGACTCCAGGATCATGCCCTATGCCGAAGGCAGGCGCTAAACCGCTGAGCCACCCAGGGATCCCCCAACACTTGTTTTTGATGCTAGTATCTTACAGGTATGAGATGGTATCTCATTATGGTTTTGATTTGCATTTTCCTGATGATTTCACTAATTGAGCAGCTTTTCACATACCTTTTGACTGTCTGAAAAATGTCTTACTCAGTTCCTCTGCCCCCTTTTAAATTAGATTGTTTGATTTTTTGCTGTTGAGTCTTTCATATATTTTGGATATTAACCCCTTATCAGACACATGGTTTATAGATAGTTTCTCCCATTTTGTAGGTTGCCTTTTCATTTTGTTGATGATTTCTTTTGATGTGCAGAAGATTTTTAATTTGATGTAGTTCTATTTGTTTATTTTTGCTGTTATTTCCTGTGCTTTTGGTGTCAGAACCAAAAAAAATTGTTAAGACCAATGTTAAGGAGCCTATTCCTTAAGGAATTTTATGGCTTCATGTCTTAAGTTCAAGTCTTTAACACATTTTGAGTTGGTTTTTGTGTATGGCATAAAATAGGTGTCAAGTTTCATTCTTTTACAGGTAGTTGTCCTATTTTCCCATTACCATTTATTGAAGAGACTATCCTTTCTCCATTGTATATTTTTGGCTCATTTGTCCTTCATCATTGTATATTCTTGGCTCCTTGCATGTGTGTGTGTGTGTTTTTTTTTAAATATTTTATTTATTTATTCATGAGGGAGAGAGAAGCAGAGACACAGGCAGAGGGAGAAGCAGGCTCCATGCAGGGAGCCTGATGTGGGACTCGATCCTGGGTCTTCAGGATCACGCCCTGGGCTGAAGGTGGCACTAAACCGCTGAGCCACCAGGGCTGCACTCCTTGCATGTGTTTATTCCTGGGCTTTCTATCCATTGATCTATTCGTTTTTATGTGAATATTATACTATTTTGATTAGTTTGACATGATATAATATGAAATCAGGAAGCATAATGTTTCCAATGTTGTTCTTTCTAAAGATTGCTTTGGTTATTCAGGGTCTTTTGTGATTCCATACAAATTTTAGGACTGTTTGTTCTATTTCTGTGAAAAATGCCATTGGAATTTTGGTAGGGATTGTACTGAATCTGTAGATTGCTTTGGATAATACCAACATTTTACCAATATTAATTATTCTATTCCATGAGCATGGAATATCCTTTCATTTATTTGCATCCTCAATTTTTTTCATCAGTGTCTTTCAGTTTTCATCATACCTCCTTTCATTTTAACCTCCTTGGTCAAATTTATTCCTAGGTGTTTTATTCTTTTTGATATAATTTTGGTGCAATTTGATTATTTTCTTAATTTTGCTTTCTGATAGGTGGTTATTAGTATATAGAAACACACCTAGTTTTACATCTTGATTTCGTATCCTGCAACTTTACTGAATTTGTTGATTAGTTTTCACAGTTTTTTTTTTTTTTTGGTGGAGTCTTTAGGGTTTCCTGTATATAAAATCATACCATCTGCAAACAGTGTTACTTCTTCCTTTCTGTTTTTGTTGCCTTGTATTTTTCTTGTCTGATTGCTATGGCTAGGACTTTTAATACCATGGTGAATAAAAGTACTAAGAGTAGACATCCTTGTTTCTGATTGTAGGGAACACAGCTTTCAGTTTTTCACTATCAAGAATGATGTCAGCTGTGCATTTATCATATATGGCTTTTATTATGTTGAAGTATGTTCCCTCTGTACCTGAATTGTTGAGTTTTTATCATGCATCGTTGTTGAATTTTATCAAATGTTTTTTCTGCATCTATTAAGATGATCATATGATTTTTATCCATTATTTTGTTAATGTTGGTGTGTCACAATAATTGACGTGCAGATGTTGAACCCTCCTGGCATCCCTGAAATAAAACTCACTTGATCATGGTATGTGATCCTTTTAATGTATTTTTGAATTTGATTTGCTGATATTTTGTTGAGTTTTGCATCTGTGTTCATCAGGGATAGTTTACTGTAATTTTCTTTTCTTATAGTTTCCTTGTTGGGTTTTGGTATCATGGTAATTGCTGGCTTCATAGAATGAGTATGGAAGTATTTACTTGTCTTTTAGGTGTTTAGCATAATTTGAGGATTGGTCTCAGTTCTTCCTTACATGTTTGGTAGAATACACCAGTGAAGCTGTCTGGTCATGGACTTTTGTTTTTTTGAGAGGTTTTTGATTACTGATTCAGCCTCCTTACTATTATCTGGTCTGTTCAGATTATCTCCTCAAGATTCAATCCTGGTAAGTTGTTTATCTTTAGGTATTTATCCATTTCTTCTAGGTTATCCAATTTGCTGGTGAATAATTGTTCATAATGGTCTTTTATGATCCTTTGTATATTTTTGGTGTAGGATTACCTTCTTGAAATAAGGAAGTTAGGGCAGCCCCAGTCGCCCAGCGGTTTAGAGCCGCCTTCGGCCCGGGGTGTGATCCTGGAGACCTGGGATTGAGTTCCGTGTCGGGCTCCCTGCATGGAGCCTGCTTCTCCCTCTCTCTCTCTCTCTCTCTCATCTCTCATAAATCAATCAATCAATCAATCAATCTTAAAAAAAAAAGAAAGAAAGAAGGAAGTTAAATGAAAGCCTCACTGAATTCTGAAACTTTGAGGCTTTTAGTTCTCTTCCCTCAGTGTGGCTCCCAGAATATGGTCAATTAGATATATACCCTCAGGCAAGATATCAGAATATTTTGACAAGTCTAAGGGAAAATAATGATTAAGTGTTATCACTACCCAACCAACCTACACTGATCCTCATTATCAGTGAGCCTTGCCTGTTGCACAGTACTTTTAGTCAGTTCCTCAATGTGTGCCAACAGCCAGGGAGCACCAGGCATTGAGGAAATGGATTCTAAAAGAGAGAGGCAGATAAAAAACCATTTGACACAGTGACTATTCAGTGAGATGGAAATATAAAGAGAAAAGAACCACAGAGAGATGAGAGATGTCAGTGTATCGATGAAATAAAAATTGCTACTGAAAAGAACACTGTTAGAAAGTAACTTCTGGGAATTAAGCATGGGCATAAGAAATTAAAATGAAATGAGTTTGAAAGATAAATTTAGGAATTCTCACAGAAAATAAAGTAAAACAAACAGAAACTAGTAGAGAAAAACATGAGGAGACTTGGGATCCACTGATAAGATTCAGCACCAGGACCCCTCTGCTCCAGAGAGAAGACAGGCTCTCAAGAGAATGTCCCAGAAACAAAGGCCTCGAGCTTCTGGATGGGAAAGAGTCATTGAAAATCCAGCACAGTGTATGAAAGCAGCTCTACACGGAGCAAATTTCTTGAAAATTCAGAGCCCCAGGGGCTTCACCATGAGAAAAGATTCTCTTTTTTTTTTTTTTTTTAAGATTTTATTTATCCATTCATAGAGACAGAGAGAGAGGCAGAGGGAGAAGCAGGCTCCATGCAGGGAGCCTGATGTGGGACTCGATCCCGGGTCTCCAGGGTCATACCCCGGGCCGCAGGCGGCACCAAACCGCTGCGCCACCGGGGCTGCCCTGAGAAAAGATTCTAAAGTTTCTGTAAGAGACAAGTGGATTCCATTTAAAAGGATCAAGAAATCAGATGCTGTTTGTCTTTGCAACTGCACAGTGGACGCTGGAAGATTGTAGGACAAATTTATTTCACAACTTAGCAAAGATTCCAACCTGGAGTTCTGAATCTGGCCAGACTCTCAGTCATGTGTGAGAGTGGAATGCAGATGTTTCAGATATGCCAGATCTCAAAGGAATCTTATCTCCTCTGCACTCAAATCATTTAGCCAAGAAAGAGGAAGATGTTGGATCTGGGAAGTTGGCTCAAACACAGAGAAGGGGACCAGTCTCCTGGAAGTGACACCCAGAGGGCAGTGATCACAGACATTCCAGAGTAGGACCTATGTTGCCACTGACATGGAGCTGATAGACTTCCTGATATGTTTAGATGTCTTGAGGAGATTTCATTGATTCGGGAGAGTTTGATGATGAATAATGATAGGCACATTGAAAGCAGTAAAGAAAGTAAGCAAGTTAATACTTAAGAGAGATCAAAATGTTGTGTAAAAATGATTGTGTCATTATGATTAAAATATTGAATGTTAATCTAACCAAAGTTAGGATGTCAACTATTGGAAAAGTGGCAGGACAGGAAATGTGTGTGTGCAAGCATATGTATATGCTTCTGTGTATGTGCATGTGTAACAGAGGAGTGTTAATTCTTCCTGTTATTGAGAATGCCCCCAACTAAGAAAACAAGAAATAGGATAAATACGATTTCATAAAAGAGACCACTTTATGCTTTTGTGGGCAAATTTAGATGTTAAGTTGCTCTTCTCAAATTTGAGGAGTTGTGAGGGACACCTGAGTAGCTCATTTGGTTAAGCATCTGCCTTGGGTTCAGGTCATGATCCTGAGGTCCTAGGATTGAGCTCCGCATTGGGCTCCTTGCTCAGCTGGGAGTCTAATTGTTCCTGTCCCTTTGCACTCTCCACCCCCGCTTGTGTGCATGTGCGTGTGTTCTCTCTCTCTCTCTCTCTCTCTCTCTCTCACATGCACTCTTCCTGTGTCAAATAAAATCTTTAAAAATATTTGTGGCATTGTGAAATAAATAGCTATTACAGAAATAGCATTTTTATTTTCCAAGAATAGCTTTAAACTGAAAGTAGATTTTGTCATATATCTGTCAGTCTTGATATTGAGGATTTTTCAAGTACCATACACTTCTTTCAGGTGAGTGCCATTTTGAATGGAATGTTAGATCAGAGCTTCAGGGATCGAGCCAGCCAGAAACAGCAAGGACTGAAACTTGCAAGTACAATTCTGCACAACTGGAAGAAGTGGGACTCATGGTGGGCCAAGGATTCTACTCCTGAAAGTAAAACGGCGGTGCTGACCTTATTGGCAAAAATTTTGCAGGTATCTTGAGAACCTTAAAAATGAAGTTGTTTTGGACTCTGTAAGTTTTATCTTTAAAAATATAATGGAGAGGGGATCCCTGGGTGGCGCAGCGGTTTGGCACCTGCCTTTGGCCCAGGGCGCGATCCTGGAGACCCGGGATCGAATCCCACATCGGGCTCCCGGTGCATGGAGCCTGCTTCTCCCTCTGCCTATGTCTCTGCCTCTCTCTCTCTCTCTCTCTTTCTGTGTGACTATCATAAATAAAAAAAAAAAAATTAAAAAAAAATATAATGGAGATTTAAGAACTCATTGGTTTGATCAGTAAAAAATATTTTTACTAAGTTGCTGATTACCTTACATTTTATACTTTTTCCATTATTATCACTTATACTCATTATCCTTTCCTATACTTTACTTTTTTAGTGTTTTTAAGTCCTACCAGATCAATTTAAAATATTTCAGAACAAGAATTGTTAAAATATTGTTGAAGCCCAAGAACAAATTTGTAGATTATTTCTGGGATTACAATCTTGGAAAATGTGTTAAAGGACATTAGAAGCATAATATAGAGATGTATCATGTTTTTACTTCCCCTCCTTTAGATCGATTCATCTGTATCTTTTAATACAAATCATAGTGCATTCCCTGAAGTCTTTACAACATATACGAGTCTACTTGCTGATTCAAACTTGGGTTTACATTTAATGGTAAGTGGTCAAAAAGATTTTTTTTCAGATTACGTTCTCAATTATTTTACCACTTTATATTTTTACATCCTTACGATGCTTTCTCTTTTTTATTATGGAAAATTTCAAACATATTCAAAAGCAGAGAATAACACCTATGTGCCTGTCACTCAGCTTCAATAGCCACCTGTCTATGGGTGTGTCTGTTTCAACTATGCAGCCATTCCCACTCTTGAAGGAGACATTTGGCATCATGTTATCTAATCTGCTCATACTTTTGTGTGTCTCTCTAAAAGATAAATATAATCACAATGAATTTCCCATACTTAGAAGAATTAGTATTTCTCTTTGCATATGTGTAGTTCAAATTGGCTTTTTTGAGAATTGCTATATTCGTGAATGACAGAATTTAAAGTATTAATCATTTTTCTATTAATAAATATACCTGGGTAACTTTTAGGTCAAGAACTTAATACTATAATTTTAAAATCTTACAATAATTAGATTTCATGCTATAATAAAATGTAGCCTTAATGAAATACGTCTTTTTAGTAGATCATAAGAGTATTTCTTTGAAAATTTCTGTTCTGTGGTTAATCAAGTTTCTCATTCCTCAGTATGAGGGAGCTTGGGAACTTTCTTGCCACACAAGGGAGATAGGAAATATCACCTAGTTTCTTTTACACTTGTTATAAAGTTCTGTATTAATTCTGCAAGGAATATTTATAAATTATCCCATAGGTTGTTCAGTATGCTCTTCCACACCTAACTTATCCAGTGTATCTCTACTAGAGTCTGTATTTGTAGAAGGAAAAATCACACAGCATCATCATACAGTGTCCTATTTAATTACACATTAATAGCCCTGAGTTGGCCCACTGGCCTCTACAGTAGAAGCCGAGATACAGCATTGTGTTTGGGTTGGCTTTCAGTGTAATCTGGAAGGTATTCTGAAGTCATTCATTCAATCTACACAGTGCATTATTTGCAAAGCCTTTAGAAAACTGTATTTTATTTTTCCTGTGGGACTTACAAGCCCCAACTGGTGCAATTTCATATGTCTTCATTACTCCCACAGGGTCAGGCTGTAATTCTTCTTCCATTCTTCACCAATCTTACTGGAGGCAGTCTTGAGGACCTTGAGCATGTTCTTGAAAAGCTTATTGTTTCTAATTTCCCCATGAAGTCTGAAGAATTTCCCCTGGGAACTCTGCGGTACAGTAATTATGTAGACTGCATGAAAAAGGTTAGTTTTTAGTAATACCAAGTGAAATTAAAACATTGTTTTTCTGTTACATTTCTTCATGAAAAGAAGTGAAATATTCAGAGTCAGAGAATTTTTGCAACTTTTAAGAATTCAGTTCAATTCATTTTGAAAGCTGGGTAGCTGTGGAGGCAGATGCATATCTAAATCCTTTGGAATTTATTCCTATTTTAAATTGAAATCTTTTATTCAGAAAAATACTGGGAAATATTCTATGAATAATGTATACATTTTGAAAATTAATGCCAAAAAGAGTTAAGAAATAGAATATTACCAATATGGTTCAGTTTCTAAAATTTAAATAGTGGTTATTTGAGAAACATGTAGTGATTATCACCAATGTTATTTAATATACAAAGGTTTCTAAAGTATCAGTGGCTTACACCAGGTGGTAGATGGTTTCTCCTGTATAATATTAGATTGTTGTTATTTTCAGCAACATATACAGGTTTCCCCTGCTATCCAAAAGTAGAACTTTTTGTAAGTAGGCTTTTTGTAAGTCAAAATGGCATAAAGCAAAGAAGCAGTTACCATTAATTTGTATGGAAATTTTTTCAGCATTTCCAGACCCAAAAACACCTTTCTTAGGCACTTTTGATACCAAGGGACACATCTTGCTAACAGGTACACAGAATAAATTGAGATAAAGCACAGATGTTTACAGACACAAAGCTATGGTAGCTTGATGCTGAGATGCTGAGCGTAGATCCTGGGGAAAGAGCTTGGTGGTACCACTCTCAATGGTCAGGATACATGCTGCTTTTAACTTGCCAGTCTCCTGTCTTGAATGGTAGGTTTCTGCAATCAGCAGGTCATTGATGGGGTGACACCATCATATAGGTACCTTCTGAGTATTATGTTCCCAAGCAGTCTGTTACCTAACTGGTTATAGCATCCACAAAGATTGTACATAGATCTTTGGTACTTTCTCTTACTGTAAATGTGCTAATGTAAATATAAGTATAGTCACTGAACATTTGAAGAAAGCTTCCAACCTAAGAAGATGTAAACTAACAGGAAGAAGGAAATCAGGGAACTGAATCAACAAAGGGAGATGGGAGATGAGAACATCAAAGAAACTGTAAGAGTAACTTCAGAGATGAGAGAAGGTATGATATCCTTGAATAGAACAAATAAATGCTCTTTGAAATTAAATATGTAAAAGCAAAATTTTAAAAAATTTCACAAAACAGACAATAAAATTGAGGATATTTCCTAGAAAGTAGAACAAAACATAGAGAGGGAAAGTGGGAGAGTAGAGAACGTTAGATGTTTTAATTTTGTTTTGTTAGTACTAGTAAGAGCAAAGCAAAAATAAAAACTCAGGAAAAGTACTATTTTTTTCTCCAGTTTCTAGATGCTTTGGAATTATCTCAAAGTCCTGTATTGTTGCAGTTGATGACAGAAATTCTCTGTCGAGAACAGCAGCATGTTATGGAAGAATTATTTCAATCTACTTTCAAAAAGATTGCCAGAAAGTAAGTCATTCTGTTCTAGTCGGGGACACCGGGAACCATACATATTTTATTTCTGTAGGAAATTATCCTCTCTGTTCCAAAAAAAAGTTGAGTGGCAATTGCAGTCCACTGTTACAACTGAATTTTATTTTGTTTTTCTTGGTGGAGTAAAAAAGACTTACTGTGAAAGTTTCAAACATGCTCAAATCTACAGAATAAGACCGTAACTGAGCATCTAGATCAGAATAAACTAAGAAAAATCCAAATGCATGATGCAACTGAAGTAGTACTTTGAGAGGAATTTGTTTCTTTTAATACCTATATTAGAAAATAAGAAATCTCCTGAATCGATATTATAAACCTCTGCCTTAAAATCAAGAAAAATAAAACTGAACTGAAAACAAACAGAAGGAAGGGAATAATAAAGATTAGATTGAAAAGTAATGAAATTGAAATTAGAAAAATGTGGGAAAAAGTCAGTGAAACCAAAATTGGTTCTTTGAAAAGGTAGATGAAATTGTCACTGTTAACTTGAAAAACTAGGAATAAAAGAGAAATTACAGTTCATGAAAATTAGGAATTAAGGAGGAAACATTACCACTGACCTCTCAGAAGTTAAAAAGATTATGGGAAAATATTATGAATGATATCATGCCAACAAATTCAGCAACTTGAAGGGGACAAATTCCTAAAAAGTCACAAATTACCAAACTGACTCAAGATGAAATAGAAAATCTGAGTATATTTCATAAATGTATATTATATATATTTAATATGCATATTTAATATATAATTATATATAATATATAATAAAATATATTTAATTTCATAACTTCTTCAGAAAATAGAGGAGAAAAGAGTACTTCCAAACTCATCCTGTGAGGCTATTATCACACTGTTAACAAAGTCAGACAGAAACATTGCAAGAAACATATAAACCAATATCCTTCATAAATACAGACACAGAAGTTTTCAAAAATATATTTAAAAACTCTGGGGGTTATACTGATGTTGGCAAATCGAACTTCAATAAAACAAATGAAAAAAATCCAGCAATATGATATATGTATGATAGATAAATATTATAGACTATAATATAAATATTACCTTTTATAAATATAAAAAATATGTACAATATAGATATATAATATATATAACTTAGGTAATATATATTTTATATATACATATATATAAACACAATAACCAATTGGGATTTGCCCTAGGAATGCAAAACTAGTTTAATATCTAAGAATCAATAGTAAATACTATATTAAAAGAATAAAGGACAAAACCACGTTATCATTTCAGGAGATATAGATAAATTTTTGACAACATCCATTCATGATAAAAAGGACAAAAGGTCACATATGAAAAACCAATAGCCAACAAAATATTTAATAGTAAAAGACTGAATGTCAGGGCAGCCCAGGTGGCTCAGGGGTTTAGTGCCGCCTTCATCCCAGGGCCTGATCCTGGAGACTTAGGATCGAGTCCCGCGTCGGGCTCCCTGCATGAAGCCTGCTTCTTCCTCTGCCTGTGGCTCTGCCTCTCTCTGTGTCTTTCATGAATAAATAAATAAAATCTTTAAAAAAAAAAAAAAGAAAATACTTTTCTCCTAAGTTTGGGAACAAGGCAAGGGCGTACGCCCTTTTCATTCAACAAGATACTGAGGTTCTAGCCAGTGCAGTCAGGTAAGAGAAAGAAATAAAAGATAACTAAATTGGAAAAAGGAGTAAAACTCTTTTTAGAGAGAGAGGGAGAGAGAGAGAGAGAGAGAAACACATGCACTCATAGGGGATGAGGTAGAGGGAGAGGAAGAAAAGCCCAAGTAGACTGTGAGCTGAGTACAGCGCTCGACTGTCTGCTCAATCCCATGACCCTGAGACCATCACCTACTGAAATCAAGAGTTGGAAGCTCAGCTGACTGAGCCATCCAGGTGCCTTAAAGCTGTCTTTTTTTTTTAATATTTTATTTATTTATGAGAGACACAGAAACACATGCAAAGGGAGAAGTAGGCTCCCCACGGGGAGCCCGATGTGGGACTCGATCCCAGGACCCCAGGATCGTGCCGAAGGCAGGCGCTAAACTGCTGAGCCACCTAGGAGCCCCATAAAGCTGTCTTTATTCATGAATAGCACGAGGTAGAAAATCCTAAAGATCTACAAAAAAGTTATTAGGACTAATAAACAATTATACAAAATTTTAGGATATAGGATCAATGTTAAATCCATTGCTTTCTATAAATGAGCAGAAAGCATTCAAAACTATAATTAGGGTGATCCCTGGGTGACTCAGTGGTTTAGCGCCTGCCTTTGGCCCGGGGCGCGATCCTGGAGTCCTGGGATCGAGTCCCACGTCGGGTTCCCGGCATGGAGTCTGCTTCTCCCTCCTCCTGTGTCTCTGCCTCTCTCTCTCTCTCTCTCTCTCTCTCTCTCTCTCTCTCTCTCCCCCTCTCGTAAATAAATAAATAAATCTTTAAAGAAAAAAAAAACTATAATTAGGAATATAATTGCATTCATAATACCATCAGAAAGGAAAAAAACAGGAATAAATTTAACAAAAGAAGTATAAGACTTGTACAATAAAAATTACAGCTCATTGCTGAAGAAAATGTAAAACTTAAGTATTTAAACATCAAACATTAATTTAAAAATTAAAGATTTAAATAAATGGAGAGACATTCCACGTTCATGAATTTGAAGATTGGGTATTGTTGACATGGCAGGTAAAGTTGATATGTAAATTTAATGCAGTCTGTCAGAATGCAAGCAAGACTTCGTGTTTGTGCAGTTTAAAATTTTCATTTTAATTAAACCTTACTGAAAATATACTCTCTAAGGATACAAAAAGTTTGTATACCAAAATCACCTGGTATTTTTCAGTATATGGTTATTATGACAACTAGGTATGCTTATTTCAGCTAATTATGAAATTTTAAAAATTGTTTATATAAAATATAATCTTTCGATGTAATTTTCTTTTGAAAATGTAAAATATTTATATAATTTGAAAGTCATAACTGTAAGTTCGCCCAGGTGGCCCAGGTGGTTGTGTGTCTGCCTTCGCTTCAGGACATGATACAATGGGTCCTGGGATCGAGCCCCATGTTGGGCTCCCTGCTCATGGGGAGTCTGCATCTCCCTCTCCCTCTCCTGCTCCTCCCCCTGCTTGTATGTACACATGCACATGCGCACTCTCTCTCTCTCTCTCTTGCTCTTTCTCTGTCAAAGAAATAAAATCTTAAAAAAAAAAAGTCATAACTGAGGTTTATTTAAGAGTCTTTCTTCTGTCTGTGTCCCCTTTCTTATTCCTCTTCACCTGCGTTTTTTTCTACCTCCTATCTATTACAGATCACTCCATGTCAGTACAAAAATCTTCCTCAATCCTTTTTAATTTGAATAACTATATAACTAATATAAATAACTTACTGATTGTGAAGAAGTAGCATAGTATTTTGAAACAGCCCTATTGATAGACTTTTGGGCTCAATTTTTTACTACAAAAAAATAACAGTGAATAGTTGTGTGTATATGTCATTTCGTATTTTGCAAATATATCTTTGGAGTGGATTCCGAAACATAATTGAAAGGTAAATGCATTTGTAATTTGTGTGTGTGTGTGTGTGTGTGTGTGTGTGTGTATGTTGAATTTTATTTATATGTATATTTTTTATTGGAGTTTGATTTGCCAACTATGACCAGTGCTCATCCAGTCAAGTGCCCTCCGCAGTGCCTAGTCACCCCATCCCTCCGCCCACCTCCCCTTCCACCACCCCTTGTTAGTTTCCCAGATTTAGAAGTCTCTCATGTTTTGTCTCCCTGATTTTTCCCACTCATTTCCTCTCCTTTCCCCTATAATCCCTTTCACTCTTTTTTATATTCCCCAAATGAATGAGACCATATAATGTTTGTCCTTCTCCAGTTGACTTACTTCACTCAGCATCATACCCTCCAGTTCCATCCACATTGAAGCAAATGGTGGGTATTTGTCCTTTCTGATGGCTGAGTAATACTCCATTGTATATATAGACCACATCTTTATCCAACATCATTTGATGGACACCGTGGCTCCTTCCACAGTTTGGCTATTGTGGCCATTGCTGCTGTGAACATTGGGGTGCACTTGTCTCAGCTTTTCACTGCATCTGTATCTTTGGGTTAAATCTGCAGCAGTGCAATTGCTGCGTCATAGGGTAGCTTTATTGTTAATTCTTTGAGAAACCTCTACACAGTTTTCCAGAGTAGCTGCACCGATTCACATTCCCACCAACCATGTAAGAGGGCTACCCTTTCTCCACATCCTCTCCAACATTGGTTGTTTCCTGCCTTGTTAATTTTCCCCATTCTCACTGGTGTGAGGTGGTATCTCATTGAGGTTTTGATTTGTATTTCCCTGATGGCAAGTGATGCAGAGCATTTTCTCATGTTCTTGTTGGCCATGTCTATGTCTTCCTCTGTGAGATTTCTCTTCATGTCTTTTGCCCATTTCAGGATTGGATTGTTTGTTTATTGGTGTTGAGTTTAATAAGTTCTTTATAGATCTTGGAAACTAGCCCTTTATCTGATAGGTCATTTGCAAATATCTTCTCCCATTCTGTAGGTTGTCTTTTAGTTTTGTTGACTGTTTCTTTGCTGTGCTGAATGTTTTTATCTTAAGTCCTAATAGTTCATTTTTGCTTTTGTTTCCCTTGCCTTCATAGATGTATTTTGCAAGAAGTTACTGTGTCCAAGTTCAAAAAGGGTGTTGCCTGTGTTTTTCTCTAGGATTTTGATGGAATCTTGTTTCACATTTAGATCTTTCATCCATTTTGAGTTTGTGTTGTGGTATAAGAGATGTTCTAATTTCATTTGTATGTAGCTGTCCAGTTTTCCCAACACCATTTATTGAAGAGACTGTCCTTTTTCCAGTGGATAATCTTTCCTGCTTTGTCGAATATTAGTTGACCATAGAGTTGAGGGCCGATTTCTCGGTTCTCTGTTCTGTTCCGTTGATCTATGTGTCTATTTTTGTGCCATACCAC